GGTGTGTATAAATCTTATTTAATTTTTTTTGTGAATTTTAATGCACATTCTCTATAGTTTGATCAAAATATTCGTAGTATATACTAAACAGTGCGACATTTAACTCCGGACACGACATTTGTCCGGACTTTCGCCAACCACTTTTCCAAAGATATGTGGAAACCATTTATGTCATCTGATGGGATTTTTTAAAACTTAACACATGAACCAAAATTTACACCTGATTATCTTCTAGGTAAAAAGATATTACACCTGAAACCAAGAAATCCCATGGGATAATGGTGGGATTTTTTCTCCTAACCAATATCCCACCATTATTCTATGGGAGAAAAAGGTATTCTGTGGGATTTTTTCTCCCATAGAAGTTTGAAAATCCCATGAATGCTTTATAATGGGACAAAATCTCCCATATACTTGTATATAGAAGATAATCTCCCACCTCTTTATAAATGTGGGATTTATCCCATATTCATTACAAAATAGAAAAAAATTCTCCCATGGGATAAAGAAACAACAGTTTTAAACCAAATAAAGAAACTATTGAACAGTTTAACTACTATTAATTATTTATTTTCATTTAAGTTATGTGTTTCCTAAACCATTTTTTTTTTTAATTTCTTAAAATTAACCAATTTTGGGGTAATGTTTAATTTTTTCAATGATTAAAGATCAAAAAATCAAAAGTGGTTTTATCTCTATAACTTTCAGTTTATTTTTGTTTTTTTTTTTAAGTAAAAAGGCAATTTCCCTTGTATGTAGATTACCTTCTTTTATTCCTTGTATGTAAATTTTGAATGGGAAAAATAAAAAATGCAATTAAGAAAGAACAAATCTTTTTATGTTTATTTTCCTCCTAATCATTTAGGTTAATTTATTGCATAAGTGCCATTTGTCAAGCTTTACAACATGATCAGATCCATGCACGTTGTTAGATCTTTGCCTGTTTGCTGCACTAAACTGATAGGTTTCCAATTAAAAAATCACATGAAATTGGGTCGTATCAGTCACTCTGAGATTCTTAAGAGAGTTTTAAAACTTATTTAGACGCACAAACTGTAATAATTTACCTAATTTTTACTTTTAATTTTCTTTGTATGATCCTGATCATGCCTTGTTTTGTTCCAATGACAGCTGGAAATTATTTTACACATAACGAACCCGATCTGACAAATGAACAGAAAATAATGTTGAAAAAAATTCAACCATCTTCATTATGCACATTTACTGGTAGTTTGCATTAAAAATATTTAACAACCTTTTCACTAATTTCAAAACTTTCTACCTACACCTACTAAACATATCAAGACATTTTTGACAGTTCATTGAACCCGTTCAAAAATAAACATGATGAAAGGGCATGGATCCAGAAATATTTGCGGTGGTACTCTACTCATTGTTTCATATCATCCAGTAGAAAACAAGTTTTCCTTAGTTCTGTTACTTCTTTAATAAAAGCACTCTGCTGATCTTTTACTTGTTATTTTTTGGTACATATAATAACCATGCACCATTGACATGTATTCAACTGATAATAGCCAAGTCACCTTAGGCCATTGCAAGTTTCTTCTTTGTTAAACGTCAGCATGCACCTTGTTTTGGACACCCCATAACACATAAAATAAGAGGTCCAGGCCACAGTTAGTTAATGCTCACTGTTAATACCCACGCGGATGCAAATATAGCAGAATGATATTGGGTACATGTATTAAACTTTTACCTCAGCAATTTAAATAAGATGTTAGATCCGCACGCATACTCGCTAAACTGACTGTAGTGACTATGTGAGCGGATCTAACATCTAATTTTAACTAGATTGGTACTTAAGTGGCTTAAATTTATTCAACTTCTTTCAGGAAGATTTTCAATTTTCTTGTCATAAATGCATATTGTCAATTATTATGCTTCCTGTCAGTTTGTCTCTACATAACCCATACCCTACTATTCTTGCATAGTGTTCTAAGGATTTAAATAGCATAAGCATACTATGCCGAAATAGTGCACGACTTCATTTTCTGAAGAAAAACTGACTGCGCCCACGCCTGGGAGCGAACTCACAACCCCAAGATTGTCAGTCCGACGCGCTACCGATTACAACACAGACGCCGTTATAAATATCAATGTACTATAATATATATAAACTTAGTTTCAAATATTTTACACTTAAGTAGCTGCAGAACTGTAGCTCTCAGAAAAAATATATGTTGACAGACCAGAGAGCTACAGTGCCACCCATTGAAAAAACTGTATATTTATTGCGCACAAAAAAGTGCGCTCGGTTCTGAATTAATTCTTCGAAATTCTTACCTCAATTGAAAAAAAAGCTACATTTCAAAAAAGTCCTTACTCCTCTATAACTTTCATAGTTTACACTTGTACTAAGTGCGTTGGACCGAATTCTCGTGAAGACCAAAATGGCAGTATAAATAGGCAAAATTTTCAATGATTTCAATTTCAGGGCCAGGAGGGCTGTTAAAAACAATTATAAGGAATGTTTTATTGTGGAAACAGTGAAAGAATATGTTAGAAACACACGTTTAGTAATATTTTGAGATGACAGTTTTAAAAACACTGAGAAATAAATCGAGAAACAGCGCACAAAAAGTGCACAATAAATATACAGTTTTTTCTATGGGTGGCACTGTAGCTCTCCCGTCTGTCAATATATATTTTTTCAGAGAGCTACAGTTCTGCAGCTAACACTTAAGATGAAAAATAAACAAAATAATTCTTCTAAAATAGTTTCTTGCAATTGACCCCATCACTCAACTACTATTCTCTAAAACTATCTGTACATTATACCGAAAGCCTCCGGCTTGTGCACCATGTGTCAAACCCTGACTACTTTTTAAGAATAGTGCATGCAAAATACAACACTATTATATAAATATGCACACTTCATGAGTTCCCTGGTTCATTAAATAAAGGTACACATACCTTCATTTTACATTTAAGGACATACGCAAGATACCTTACCTACTGATAATTTTTCAAGATATTCTAAATTTAAACTTATAATACATGTACCATATAACATATTTTTAAACAAAAAATCAGCATGCATTTCCAGGGATTTTGAAAAGATATTAAAGTTTGAAAAATTTTGCATTATTCAAAGAAAAATGTACAAAAATTACAAAACATAAATTCCAGATTTTTTTTATCAAAATTGTTTTAGAAGAGATTTGCAAATCCATATATAGACAATAAAAATATTGCACACAGGTCCTTCATTTAGTGGAACTCTTCAACTCCAGGGAAGAACCCAATAAAGTGCAAACTACGTTGCGTATGACCTTAAATGCCCGTTTATATAAGAGAAAAATAAATTAAAGAACTTGTTCTAATTAAAATAATTAAAAAAAAAATCCTTATTTAAGCCTTTAAGTTTAATTTTTAATTAAGAAATTTGACAGATGAATAAGAAGAGTAATATACAATATAATACTTCTTAAATTAATTCTCTTGGTTCCATTCATTAGATTTTCAATATTCGAGTCAACACTCTATACATGAATGAATTATCAAAAGTTTTGTCCTTAAAGTTTTCAATGGATCCACAGATCATGAGGTGATGTCTCCTTTTATGTGTATGTATCTGTGTACACTGAAAAAAAAAAGTCGCTGTGTGATGAAAAGGATAAACCAGAAGTCTCTGATGAGACTGTAGCTCTCCTGGTCTATATGTATAACAAAGAAAAAGTAACACTTGGATTTGAAACTTTGCAACAGACAGCAATAAATAGAATTATGTATCTAAGTGTAGTCTACTTGTGTGCCACATTATATTGAAATCATACCAAAATTGTAGGTGGAGTAGCGTTTTAAAGGAATTTTACAGAAATTTCTATTTTTAGTAACCATGGCAGCACCGTTCATTGAAATGTACCTTAGTGCAGTCTAAGTTATATTGAAATCAGAATAAAACTGTAGGAGGAGTAGTGTTTTGAAAAATTACAAACAGATGGACAGCTAGACAGACAGACAACTAGACGCCATGGACAGACAGACAGACGGACAGCTAGACGGATGGACGAGGGACACCTTCCTATCCCATAAGCTCTTCTGGTCTCTGACCAGTAGAGCTAAAAAAAATATCAAATTTGATTTTTTTTCAATGTTAATGAAATAAAACTGCAAAATTAAATTGTAAATGGTTGGTTGCGTACTAATTATTCAAAGTAGTTTTTGTTGTATGGTTTGAAAAATTTTATTACTCATTCTCTCTATTTTCACAAAGAATTACCTTTGCATTTCTTGTATCTACAAGGGGGACAAATCTTCAAGTGGTACATGTACACTATATGTCAGCTACTATACCTTCATTTTCTGTTAAAGAAAAAAAATAGAATAAATCATACAATACCAATTACATGTATAATAACAAAGCATGGATGAATTTTTCACTAAAATTAGAAAATGAATTGAATATCGATTACTCAAATTTCTCGATCCAGCCAAAATGACTGACGCTAAAATTTACCCCTACTGAGGTCGAAGTATAAAAGTATAAATTATTTTTATCTATCAATATACCATAAATGAAACTTTGTGCATGTTCTGCATTCATTTACCAGTATCTGTATATAGTAGTTTTATGCCCTTGAGAATTTTTCATGATGTCATGCCATAATATTTCCATGTCTGTTTTTTTTTCTCTGTGGTAACTCTTTGAAAGTTAGCGGAATTGATTTCTTGATAATTCTATCGGAATGTAAATTAGGCAGGTCGATAGGTCAGGAGCTAAGAAGGCCTAATATGCATGAAAATCTCGTGCGCACCTGTCTCTGTGTCTGACGCTAAGGAGGCTAAATATGCATGTAAATCTCGTGCGACTACCTTTGTGTTTGACTTCAGTGGGTGAGGACTATTGAAATACTTTTTATTTCCACTCAAAAAGAGTTATTGCCCTTTGATCGCTCTTTAAAATCGGAGAGTGAAAACGGTACAAATCTCGCGAGATTTCCGGGACAAACATTCTAGACGTAGTCAATGACGCTGAAATGCCTGTTCGACATTGTATCGCTGTTGGCTGCACTGCCGATAGCAGGACAAGTACGGATTTAAGTTTTCACCAGCTCCCAAAAGTTGAGAGTGAGCTGAGGAAGTGGCTTAGTTTAATAAGGAGGGAGGGGTTGAGAGTAGATAGAACGAGTGATATACGGCATTACGTTGTATGCTCAAAACATTTTGTAGACACCCTACCAACTCCACAAAACCCTTATCCAACACTGTTTGCGTATAATAATTACAAAAAGTCAACCCCAAGAAAAACGAAGAACTCGAACTTAGGTAGAACTTCAACAAGCACCATAAGTCAAGATTGTCCAACCACCAAAAAAGTTAGACTTGTGAAATGTGATCCAAGTACTGATAAAACACAGATATGCTATCCCTATGTTGTGGGTGAATTGGACATCCCATTCATGGATTGTCTGGATATCAACAATAACAACAAAAGTCAACCAGGTATGTTGAATAAAAACTTAATATATAAGATATTTTAAATAAATACATTTATGATTACCTCTACCGTACATTTATTTATATTCAACATATACTTCACCAGGGTGTTCATGTTGTAAAACTACTTCCTTGTTTACTTTAGAGTTTGAATGTGACATTCAGTGCCAAAACACACAAGTACATCATGATCATCCTTATATCTGCTGTAGTCCAAAAAAGAAGTATAGTGGGGAACATGATCTATTGGAGAAAATTACACTTTTAGAGGTGAGTTGGCACTGACAAAATGTATTACTTGTCTATAATGCTGTCCTTTCTCAACCCTACTACCATGATGGATCATTCACACTACAACACAAACCTATCTTTAAAATATATATTCAATTTCTAAGCTACCAAATAACCATTGATACTTATACTGAAGGTTTGAATTTATACTAGGCTAGATGTGAGAAGCTAGAGAAAGAAAACAGGAAACTAAAAGAGGAGAATCAAGCACTCAAATCACGTAAAGTTGATTTCCGGGAGAACCTTATGGGGAAAATACTACATGATGACAACAACGTCAAGCATTTTCTGGGACTGCCTTCACTTAGTTTTCTCACATTTTTCCTTCAGTTTTTGGCCCCTTTTTATGACAAAGTTTCATTTTGGAAAGGAGCTGGGAGGTCAGGATCCAAAAAGTGGCAAGAAAAGATTCAAACAAAACCAGGGAAACAGAGAAAACTCACTATGAAGGAGTAGTTTGTCATGACCATGTTGAAACTAAGACTTGGTGTAGACAATACAACTCTTTCCGTTTTGTTTAATGTGTCAATTGGATATGTCTCAAACCTATTTAGCACATAGATAAATTTCCTAGCTCAAATTCTAGACCCTGTTATTAAGTGGCCAGATAGTGAAAAGATTCGAAAACACATGCCATTATCATTTAAGCTCAAGTACCCCAATACAACATCAATAATTGACTGCACAGAAGTGTTCATTCAAAAACCAAAAAATTGTTCTGCACAAGCAAGTACTTGGAGTAATTACAAGTCCCACAACACCCTGAAGGCACTGGTTGCTATTCAACCAAATGGAGCTTTTACTTTTGTTTCCAAATTCTGGAGTGGCAATGTCAGTGACCGAAAAATTACAGTTGACAGCAAATATATTGACCTCATTTCCCCAGGGGACGAGGTCATGGCAGACAGAGGATTCCAAATTAGAGATCTTCTTACCCTGAAAGGAGCATATTTGAATATGCCGCCTTTCACCAATGAGAGAAGAAATGGCAGAGGGAGAGTGCTAACATCAAAACAGATTATTGAGACTCGTAAAATTGCTTCACTACGTATCCATGTGGAACGAGCTATCCGCAGACTGAAATCTTTCAAAATGTTAGGAGGCATTCTCCCTCTGAAAATGAAAAATTTGTCATCTGCAATGCTTAGAGTAGCAGCAGCATTTTGCAACTTTATGCCACCTTTGTCAAAGAAATTTAAATGAAGGAAATTGTTTACTAGTATCATGGCAAATTATGTTCATTTTTATTATAGAAGAGTATTCGTTTTTATGCAGCATAAAATTTATGCTAGTAGATAACTTGCTAGTTTCATACATCTGAATCAATCCAGCTTTGTACTTATACTGTCATTGAGTACAAAAATGAAGTCAGTCAAAGTCTTTAGAGTGGTTTTAAAAATTGAAATATTGTTTGGAACATGTTATAAAAATAATGAAGTAAAATGGAGTGTATAAATAAATTCAAAGAACTTGATAAAGTTTCTTATGACAGAACAAAAAATATTGAAAATGAGTTGAAGTGACATACATCACCTTCAATTCTGCAAAGTATTACAATCTACAATAGTCAAGGTACCTGACTAAGGTATATATGATGTAGATACATTCTATGTACATGATATACTCAAACTAAGTTTGGCAAAACGTACTGCATATAAAAACTTTTAAGCTTTTCAGATAACAATTCCCAATCTGCTTTTGAGAAATGAATTCTCTCTACATAGATATCTTTTTGAGTAAACAAAACAAAATCACAATGTGAAAACTTGCATACTGCCATTTGACCAAGCATTTGGACATAAAATGGGGAGGACAGACTCTTTTTCAATTCATAATTTCCATTGACAATTGCACATGATGAATTTTTTGACATAGCAACCTGAGATGTTTCATTTCTTGAACTGTAAGGACACTTAATTTCAACAAGTCCTTTTCCACAACACTTGCATTCAGAAATGCCATCAGGGGATGCAGCGAAGAAAGGGAAATCTTTGTAAACATAGATTCCAGTCTCTGCACACTTGAATGAAGGGTGACAACTTGTCATGTGATCAACATATCTCTCTCGAGCGACAGATTCATTTCGTTTTCCGTATTCGACTGATTTTGAGGTGAAATGATACTGACCCATAATACTTCTTACAATGTAGTTGTCCGCTTTATCACCTCTGTAGTGAAAGGCATTGAAGAAGTTTGAAGCAGTCAGTCTACCTTTTCTCTGGTACTGCCACATAAGGTTGATGGATTGCCCTTTAGTGAATTCATTTACTTTTTTAACATAAGAATCATCTACTTTCAAATTTTCTTGACCATGCATTGACATTAAATCAATAATATTTTTAGGTGTGTCCTCAATACCCATAGACACATCATTGTCATCATCAGAATCTGACAATGTATACAAGGCCACTGCTAGTGTATTGCTCTTTTTGAGAACTTGAACAATATTCTTCTCCAAAGACTTTAAATCCAATGCTGATGACTTAAGTGGCAAATATCCAGAATCTTCCGACGGTCGTGGTCTATCTGGTTCATTCGTGTCAATCCTATAATCATTAGAAATATCAAATATATAAGTAATGTTAAAAATGCTTAGATAATGCACATTGTCACTACATATATTCCAAAATGGTTGTAAGATTGGGAGGGAGAGATTTTGACTTGATTTTAAAATATACCGGTACATATTAGACAGATAGAAAGTGGATTCAAGATATTCCCCTCTGAAGAAAAAGTACCCCTCAAAAGTGAAAAAGGGTTTAAACAAAAACCAAAAAAAAAAAAAAGGCAAAAAAATTGACAGTCATGAAGGAAAGGGATTTTACATAAATTCTTCATATAAAAACATCTAAACTGTTATTTTTTCATTTCACATGTATTTTTCTTCTAATCTATATAAATAACTCTTAACATTCGAAATTTAATAATATTCAATTTTTAATAACATGGATGAGAACCAAATTACAATTTATAAAAGATGATGTATGAATACATTTATTTTATTTTTTTCTTTGTGTTTCATATAGTCATCTTTTTTTTTCTTCATTTTCTTATTACTGTTGTTAAAGTATAATTCTAAATGACAAAAGATATAAAACAATTTCTCTTTTCTCAAAGGAGAACTATATTTCCCTGCACTAGCTCAAGTTTGCTGTGCCATGATGTCATATTCCATTATGGTGGAGATTAACATCAGTCCTCTATTCTATACAGTGCATACAAAGGCAGATTGGCTGCATGTCATATTTAATTTTAAAACATGTAAAGATATACATGGTCCATTTTCATCTGAGAAGATAAATATATAAAAGCAATGAAATAATACTTTTTGACATGCTTTGTATCATAACAAAACACAGGTGGCTGTGCTGACAAATTTTCATAACAATCTTAGGTGTGTTATTCAATTTGTCAACACAGCCATCCATGAAACAATGCATGGCAAAAAATATTAACTCAGTGTTAAATTGAATATGATACATCCACCAAACAGCATTCTTTGAGGAGAACTCGGTACAGTATGGCCAATACCTGATATCTAAGTCATGAACAGCCACTGGCCTGCATACTTTTCTTGGTTTATTCCAATATGCTGCAGTATCTGTGACTCCAATGGTACTTCGGTCTTCTATGGATGTGACGTGATCAATAATGCCAAATAGTAGGGCGACAACATGTTTGCAGGACCCATCCCCTCTGTTTAAGATTATTTCTTACAATTATATTTTTGTGTAGAATAAAAATAAATCAGTTCACTTCAACTTTGCTTGTATACACATATTTAATATTCACAAAAAACTTAAAAGCAGAAGTCTCATAAAATTTAATCAAACTTTTAGCACAATCAAGAAAATAACATTTCAAATGTGAGAAGAAGAAATTGAAACTTACGCAACACATGTGCATTCTGCTGAAAATATGTGTCCAGACTTTTCAACCAGAATCCACGGGATATAGGGATCACTGGACTGCCGTGTTTCAGGAACACACTTTCCCTTGATAAAACACATATCATCACCTAAAATTTAAATTGTAAACAAAATTTTCAAAAACATTCTTATTTGCTGTAATTCTAAATAAATAAAATTTAGGAATGGAGTTATATTTAAGTATAACGTCAAGTGCCTGTGAGACATACTTGTTTGTTTCTTAGGCACAAAAAAAAATCCAAAAAAATATTTGATATACCGTACATACAATCTGGTGACAGCAGATGGTTAAATGTTGATGAGATATGCATGGTTGGTGAAAGTTCATGGACATGGATGGAAGGATGATGGTGATGACATGATGATTAAACAAGTAGCAAAGGATTGTAGTACAAAAAATGCTTGATTTTATAACCAAGTCAAATTATGTACTTCAACCAGTAGCCACTATAATCTAAAGCTAGCAGTAAAAAATCCTAATGTCAATTCTAAAAAAAAAAAAAAGACTTGACTCTGAAAATACCAAATATTACATAATATTTATTATCTGTATTTACAAATTTAGGTGAATTAGATTAATCTGGTAATTGCACACACCTTCCCGACGAAAAAATCACTTTAACAAAACAGAAGAAATATTTCATACTCATCTTATCAATAAACGTTACACAATGCAGTATTCATGTAAGCCTACCTAACAGAGCCATGACGACATCATAAATGTGACCAGAGCAATGAAGCTTATATCCACTGTCGGATTTCCTGTTCCGTAAGCGTTCTTCAGACCACCCACAGTAGTTTTGAAGAAAAGATGACACGTCAAAGGCATCTATAGAGGGAATAATGGCAAGATTCGGAGTCCAAGCGATGCTACCATCATGATATGGGTGTGGATATGTTTTTCCACGAACCGTTCGTCTGCTAATGGAGGCCTGTATATCACCATCATAATGACCGATATGTGGCAAATTTAACGCCTCTGCTCCCTCGCATAAATCAACCAAGTCTTGCTTATTTCTATTAGAAAACGGAATACCTTTCGATTTCAATATATTCTTCAGATCGGTGCACTGTAAACTCTGATAATTTACAGAGTTAGACGCCATCACAGCCAAATTTTGTCCCAGGGGACCCTACTAAACGCGCCTCTAATTTGAAGAGTGCCGTAATGGAAATATCAAGTATTGGCATGGGAGTCCTTGTGTAATTTAAATCTATGTCTACATTAACATTGCAGGTTATCCTGCAACATTCACGAGAATGCGGTCTTTATTTCTTAAACATCCAATATCCTATCAATTCTAATAAAAAATCATATTATTAGTAATAAAGCTAGAACTTTTTTTTATTTCATTTCCAATTAATAGAAAAAATATTTTTACAAATAAATATGTAAAATAAAAAAGTCCTAGCATTTTTGTCTTTTATAATTTACTTACACATAAGCATCTACATGATGTATATTTTTTCCCCTCAAAAGAACATGAACATAACTTAATAATGATATTCCTAAGTATGTATTCATGGTATAAAAAATGAGTTTAGCAGTATAAAGATTGATTTTTCACTCAAAGTTTTAAGACTGTTTTTCAGAGATTAAAAAAAAAAAAACATTGATTATATCAATAATCATGTGGGTACATGTCCTATGTAAACTTCAGAGGATCAACCAATTTTCTAACAGAGAATTAGTAATTTGATATTTGGATACTTCCAAACAATATAAGTAGGAGTTTTGCGGGTTATTAATTATGTCCATCATGACATGTACTATAAGCACTGACCCCCATATCTCAAAATTTATCTTGACACCAAAAAAAAAAAAAAAAAAAAAAAAAAAGTACTTGCAACACATGCAATGTTTGTTAATCCCTAGTACACTACAGTAGTAGGATACTTTTAACCATGTCTGAGAGAAGATAATTAATTTTCTAATCAGTAATGCTGATGACTGTGATCAAGATACTTATAAACTGTAACTTGCAAATTACAGACAAATTTAGACATGACAGTATAATTTTTTAAGTACAATCATCAGCTAGTGTACACATTGAGAATATTCGAACGAACGAATACTAGCCTACAACGTTGTCATTGAGGAAATTCGAACGAAAGAATAATATTCCGATGTGTATAATTTTCTGACGATTATTTACTTTATTAACTTGTATAATGTACTACTGAATAACCCCATCGACTGCTAGCTCTGCAAACACTTTACAGTGACAGAAATTCATAAGATTGTTTCATCAGTTAACGAGGAATCAGGATGATCTATAGATCTTTAGACTTCAAAAAAAAAAAAAAGAATCTATGAGCCATGTATTAACATGCTTTAAATGAAATAAATAACAAATTCAATAATTCTAGATCTACTTACAAAAATAGAGCAGGTCTTCGTCATAATTTTGTTTACAAACATCATGTGGAAATTCCAATATCCTCATAATAATCTTGTCGCCGTTTTTTTTTCTTTGGTTGGTATTGGGTAATTCTAGGAATATAATGCATCCGTCTGCACAGATTTTTTAAGAAGTGAATCCATAGATAGAATATTACTGCTTCTTTTTATTTATTGGTTTATCTTTTTTAAATTTAAACAATGCATAGTTCACGAGAAAACAAAGAAATGAAATAAATTATCAGGCCTATTTTTTTTCAGATTTTTTTTTTGTTGTTGTTGTAAATACTGCCATGGGTAATAATGGTAATTAAAATGCCCAATACCAAAAATATTAACATTTTATATAAATGGGACATCATCATGATCATTGAGAACATGATAAGAAGGAGGAGGGGTAGTGGACGGGTGGGTAGTCTCTCTGTATCTCTAAAATAAAAATTAATGTTTCCCTTGAAAAGTCAAGAAAATTTTATTTGCATGGTCAGTGGGATATTCAGTACAAGTTTAAAAGTCCAGTCAGTACATAGCCTCAATAAAGCCCCTTCTTCTTCTTTTAATTCACGACATTTTGATATATTGTTAACTTTCTATGATGTTCAAATTGTATCATTCACCAACCATCCTTCATGTGATAATCAATAGTAACCTATAAATTTTTGTCACTTCATATCCCATTTTTGTGAAACGTAGAATGAAAAATCAAAAGCTATACGAGCATTCATTTTACTTTCATAAACATGATTCAAGTTTATATGTTTATATGTTCGAATTTTTTGACAAACGTTTGTTTGTATCATCTGTCCTTAAGGGGGGGGGGGGGGGTATGCAATTTTATATTAATTGTTTGCTATCAATTATGAACGATGTAAAATTGTTTGGATTTAATTTTTAAATTGAAAATGAAAAAAAAATTATGACTTAATCCAAAGGTTTAGTAAAAGCATGGAGTTTGTTTTTCATGAATTTCTATTGTAGATTCATTTGTTAAATCGACTTGTTGTGTGTTAATATCCCTTGTGTATGTTTTGTTAGTTCCAAGCAAATTGTGACAGTTTTGCTACCTGGGGAAAACAAAAGACTCTTAAATGCCTCTAGGTATATACATACATGTATCATACCCAATGGAGATCTGGGGTGAAGACATTGGTTTCTTGGAAGTTAGCAAGGGGAGGGGGGGGGGGTAGGTTTAACAGCAGACTTAAGTTGCTTTATTAGTATTCAAACATTTACTGCAAGATTAAGAAAAACAGGTAATACAACAGAAGTTGATTATTTTTCTGTGAAATCAAACTCAGATGACAAATATCAAAAAAAAAAAAAAAAAAAAAAATCAGATTGAGCTTAACTTGGGATCGACACCCCCGTCCAAAAATATAGTCCCGTCCAAAGCTAAAGCGTTTAGAAGTCAGCAGAGTCAATATCTCGAAGTGGGTCTTGTGACGCATTTATGAATATGTCCTATTATTGTTTTTTATCGATAAAATAAAAGTAAATCATTTATAAAATTATAGCTTTAACTCTAGCTTAAAGAATATCTATGTCCGATCTAGGACACTATAGCATAATACGATACTCTTTACAGAGTTATGTCCCTTTCTAGAATGTAAGTTATAGATTTTAAATACTTATGGTCTTTACGTTTACGTGATTTATTTTTTTCATCTAAACAATAATAGCCAATGTAACTTTTATTTTAAGAAACTTTGGACGAAAAGGAATTTTTTTTTAAAGTTTAGTAGAAAAAAATGACAATTTATAGATCCTTGATTTAAATTATAGTAAATAATCAAAACGGTCCCCTTAGGACTGTTGGTATATAAAGAAGATAATATGTCATTCTACTATATAGCTTCAATCATCTTGTTTTAATGTTATCCTGTAGATCACATTCGCATTTAAAAATATCTTTCGTGGAAGACCAAACTGAATAAATTGTAAATAGTAAAAATGAATATAAATATATAATTTGATATTTGAAAGTTAATGATGTACCAAATGTAAATTCCGTGTGAAAAGTATACACAGTCATATACTTAACTTTCCTATCAATGATCTTGTATTCAAAGTGTACAAACAGTACATTCCAGATACTAGATGCAGGACTTGTGAAAGAAAACAAAGGGCTAATTGCAGCCATATGTCTGCCGATAAGGCCACTGTTGTTTAATTTCAAGTCTATTTCAGATTTTTTTTTTATATACATGTATTGAAATCTTACGAGATTGTACAAACTTAGCACTGCACATCAACACCAAATACAGAGTAAGAGTGGAAAGCTAACGATTCACACATTTTATCGTTATTCAGTAAAACAAAAAATAAAATTAAAACAATTTTAAAAAATCAAGCAGAAGAAATGTTGCCCCCATATGCAGACGTCTCTTTTACGCTACGAATATTATGCAACAAAATTATAAAAGTTGTATGCTTCTATAAATTTTTCATCAGTTGAGCCCACCTCCTTACATGTACCCCACCCCATCTCAAAAGAGTACTGAAATTGCTTCCAAAGGCTTGATTGTATTTCAGTATCTTTGATTTGCTGAAGAATTTTCAAGAGATCTAGAGTAATTTATTGATTCTGGAAAATCTTATATAATGTTGTAAAAGAGTGATCAGATTGAAATCATTGAATGGATTCCAATTTCACACCTTTGAAAATATATTGTAAAATTTAGCCTGAAGGGAATATTCTCACACCTTTTTTTTCCCCAGAACTTCAATGTAAACAGTGATATACACATATATTCAACAATTCATCTCCACACCGACTGATGATGACTCGAGCCATTTCCTGTTTATTATCAATTTGTGTATATACTTTGTTTTGGAGTACCTACTCTAAAAATTATTTTAAAACATTTTCCAAGAAAAAACAACAACATTTTAAAGTGTTGATTAATGGACATACAAAAATATGTATAGTTATAGTTTTTTTTTACTGCAAAACAATGAAGATGACAATGGCTAATAATTAGTAAATATAGTTAACCTTGTTAATTAAGTTTAGGTAACAACATGTTGGACTAATTATGTTGTTAGTGCTATTATCACATGAAAACAGTTATTGGTATCTGTTTCAAAAAAAAAAAATAAAATAAAAAATTCAAAATACATGTATTTGAATGTACACATGAGGCTTCATGGTTTGCTCATTCAAAGATCTGTTGCAACTCATTTTCATAATTAAAAAAACATCATTTATTCAACATTTTATTTTTTTCTTATTTAACAGATTAAAAATATATATTCATAAAATATACTTTTCTAACATTTCAATTTAATTTTACCAATTTATATATATGCATACATATAATATGACCTTTCCTATTACAATGCATTCAGTACTGTCTTTTATGGTGCAGATTACAATCGCTTACAGAATTTAGACTCAATTTACCAGAAATTGTATTTTTCATTTCATAACTAATTGTTTGGGAAATTTAATGATAATAATAAGTGTATAAATTAAATGAAGAATATCTAACTGTGCCATATTTCATCGTAAGTTTTTGTATGAAGAAAAACTATATAGGTATACATCTCAGCTCTTTGATTCATTCCTTGAAAAAATTATCAATATAATTACAATCCTTTAAATTTAAAAATGACCCAAAATTTAAAGTTATACTGATATAGAAAAAAGAGTAGAAATTCTGATATTGTAAAAATTAAGACTTCAATTTTCATAGGGAACATTTGCCATGTTAATTAAACTCACCTAATCATACTGGTGTGTTCTCTTAAATGGCTATATATAACTTTTTTTATTTCTCAATGAAATTTTGCCAATTTGATATTATTTTGCTTGCAATAGCATGTACTTTCTAAATGTCAAATGATAAATTGTAAAAGGACTGACATTTTCATAGGGAGAATCCATCATCATATTATACTCCGTCAATCGTACTAGTGTGTTCTCTTGAATGGCTATAACTTTTTTATTTCTCAATGAAATTTTGCCAGTTTGATATCATTTTGCTTGCAATAGCATGTTCTTTCTAAATATAAAATGATAAATTGTAAAAGGACTGAAATTTTCATAGGGAGAATCCATCATCATATTATACTCTGTCAATCGTACTGGTGTGTTCTCTTGAATGGCCATAACTTTTTTATTTCTCAATGAAATTTTGCCAATTTGATATCATTTTGCTTGCAATAGCATGTACTTTCTAAATGTCAAATGATAAATTGTAAAAGGACTGAAATTTTCATAGGGAGAATCCATCATCATATTATACTCTGTCAATCGTACTGGTGTGTTCTCTTGAATGGCCATAACTTTTTTATTTCTCAATGAAATTTTGCCAGTTTGATATTATTTTGCTTGCAATAGCATGTACTTTCTAAATGTCAATTGATAAATTGTAAGAGGACTGAAATTTTCATAGGGAGAATCCATCATCATGGTATACTCCATCGATAGGAATTGGTGTGTTCACTTAATTAAATTACCATAACTTTTTGTACTTTTCAATGAAATTTAGCCAGTTTGGAATATATTTTTTTGTCATAGCATTCACTTAGTAAATCAAACCTAATAAATGAATTTGTGTATAATTTTTGAAACATTAAGAAAATGACCAATGGGAGACTTTTTTTCTACTCAAGACCAGGTTTTAAAATTTAAATAAATTATTTGAAAAGGGAGAGCTTTATCTGCCTTATAAATACAGTCATAATTACTATTCAAAAATAGAAATTAAGTTTTTAAAGTCAGATACCTGCATGCATATAACATATGAATTTATTTGACCCCTAAATTCATCTGTGAAACCTGAGTGGACTACAAGTTTTCTCCTTTTATTTCATGCAAATTCACTTGGCTGAGTACTTTTATTTGATAACGCTCTCCGAGTGAAAACGCTACCATGATTAAAAATAATTCAACATTCATTTAAAGTAGAAAAATATAGTCGTTATAGAACAATTGAATACTTTATTTAGAATGAAACGAAACGCCCGGAGTGAATCCACATAGTCGAGACGAATCCACCCAATACCGATCAAGATCTCCACTGCGCTTTGTATTCGTAGTAAAATTACACATTCTGTAAATGCATTGTTGCAACTGTGATGCAAGAACAGGGAAAGATGCAGTCTGCTGAAAGGATTAATTCACGTACTTTTAAATCAATTTAGTCTCATTTATATTCATTTTATTGAGATATTGGTTTAATACGTAATGCTTGAATTAGTTCACAATCACCTCAGCGCAATTAATAAGTAAAAAAGAAAGGTGCTTTAGTTCAGTTCAGTTATGGAATTCCCTCCTATGTATAAGGAGCATCCGAGAAGGTGGTTTCATAAAATACATTTAAAGGTCGGAAGTATTTCAGCACTTATAATTATAACCCATTACAAACCTATTTCAATGATATTTACAAATATATTTTAGTTACCATTCATTATGAAATCATTTCAAGATAGATCCATGCAGAAGTCTATTTAAGGTTTATGATAAACACTGATAAAAGTAAAGAATAACAATTTCATATCTAGACCACAGCATGTATATAATATGACAGTAAAGTTTTTTTTTTATAGTGATATAAAGCTAGAGTAGAAATATTAAAGTTATGATTTTAAAATGTTAAGTTTGCAATGAATTATATGGCAAAAAGCTTTCAAAAATAATTTTGACCCTTGACTGTATTAGATTAAAAGAAGATGGACTGTTTTTCCCTGTACATTAAAGAGATAAAAACAATTTCCATTCTCCTGTAGGATAAAATATTCTATAAATCATTTTGTTAGAGAACTTTTAATCCTATTAGTGACAATTATAGAACTTCTTGTCCTATTTCACAAATTATGGGATAAAAAATCCCATGTAAGGTTAAAAATGGGAGTTTTGCTTCTGTAGGAGAAAAAATCCCACAGAACTCATTTTTCTCCCACAGAATAATGGTGGGATATTAGTTAGGAGAGAAAATCCCACCATAATCCCATGGGATTTCTTGATTGCAGGTGTAATATCTTTTAATCTAGAAGATATTCAGGTGTAAAGGTTAGTCCATGTTGTGCGATTAAAAAAATCCCACCAGATGACATAAATGGTTTCCATGTATCTTTGGAAAAGTGGTTGGCAAAAGTCCGGACAAATGTCGTGTCCGGAGTTAAATGTCGCACTGTTACTAGTATATCACGCGTATTAAGTGTAACTCAGTATATATTAACTTTTATAATAGAATTGTACAAAGTATTGATGCAGGTAAATTTTGTTGTATGTTTTTTGTGATCTATCTAAAGCACTTGATAGAAAATGGCACAATGGCCTTCTTTTCAAGTTACAAACATGGTTAATCTGACAATCTCTTACAATGGTTTAGAAGTTACTAAATATATCAAAAAGATCTGGATTCGGTTGCACGAACGTTAGTTAAATTAAAGCTCAGTTAGTGCCGTAACTAGCAGTTAAATTTTTAACGACGAGTTACGTAACTGTCAGTTAAAAAGTTGTTGTTCGAAAGTCTATTAAAAATAAATTAGCTAACTCACATTCAATTGATGTCTTATAGTTAACTCTCTGTTAAATCGTTCTGCACGCGCGCGTTTCCCGTACCTACGGCGAAGTAAAAATGGCTGCAAGTGCAAGTGTAAAGCGAGAGAGGAGTACCAACTGGTCCTTGGCCGAAATAACTGTCTTAACAGATTTCGTCGAAAAGAACGAAGCAGTTTTAAAAGCCAAACAGAGCAATTTGATAACAAATGCCAAAAAGAACAGCAAATGGGCAGAAGTGACAGATTTAGTCAACGCAGCTGGGGTACAACGCAGGTCGGTAGAGCAAGTGAAGTTTAAATGGGGGAATCTGCAACAGGGGGCTAAGAAGACATTTACAGAGGCCCGTAAACATGCCAGGAAAACAGGCGGTGGACCTCCACCCAAACCCCCTACTGCCGCCGAGGAGAAGATAATTGATCTAATGAAGGACAAGCCAAATTTCTCTGGAATCGCTGGGGGCTTCGAGTCATCAATGCCAGGCACAACAGGTATAACAATGAATATTACAAAGAATGGACAGAAAACATGTAAAAAGTCCAACGGCATTATTAACTCGAAAATATAACATTTTAGTTATAAATAGCAATACCTGTAGTACACAGTCAGGCATCAAATGTTTGTATGCTTGTTTACATTATCGACTGACAAAATGATGACGTCATATTTCAGATTAGCCTAGCCTACACCCAGTTATAGAACTTACTTTAACTTGATTGGCCTAATTGGTGTTTAAAACAGATTGACTTGTTCAAAAAATAATGATGCGATTTCTTGATCCTAGTAAACCTTTTATTCGGAATTTCATTAGCAAATCATAAATATTCTTACTTGGTGCAGCTGCATATGGATGATCACATGCTTCAACCATGCTATCTTATAAGTGCTCAATCATGGTACATGCATAAAATCCATGGATAAAATGTATCAGTAATGTAGTTGAATCTGTAGATCGCAAAACAGTGTGATCCTTGCGCTAATCCTTGTTTGCACCGTGGGTTCTCGACGATGTGGAAACTCATTCAGAATATGCAGTGCGTTTGCAAACATGACGTCATAAGTGGGGCACTAAATAGGGTGCTAGATATGCGTTACTCAGAGAGAGAGTAGACTCCAAAAGATGGAAGATCATTTTTCTTTTAATTCACAGATTCTAATACATAACTTTACAATACATATGTACATTATATTTATGAACAAAATGGAAGATCATACTGCATAGTATTACAGAGATCTAGCCCGGGGGTTGGGGGGGGGTTGGGGGGGGGTTGCTCTCAACTCCACCCCTTATAAATACATGTACGACCCAGATTGCGAAATTTATATTAATTTCAAAATATTCTCCCTGAAATTGAAATTACATCTTGATTTATCATTTACACTGTCCGTAATAAAATAGCTTAGGTGGATTTAAAAAACAATCCGATGTGATCTTCGCGCATGTTTACAATTTGCAGCCCTCCACCGGCAAGTGGTGACGTCTCAATATGAGGAAATTTTTTAGAAAGGAATGTTAAACAGAAAAAAAAAACATGCAAACAAATTTTCCCTAGCAACGATCTCAATACTCTATAAATATTCATTCACAAAATTCTAAGTTGGATCTTTTTTTGAGTGGGTGTGCCAGCCCCCTTCCCCCACAGCCCCCTCCCCCCACCCCCGGAAAAAATCTTATAATGATCCACGCATGTACTCGTACACATATAGTGGATATAATGTTCAAATTCATTCCATGTAATCTCAGTATCTTTGTACACTCTATTGTTTGCCGTAAGATATTTATTAATTTATACACAGATACGACTCTATTAGGGAAAATCATTTATACTGTGTGTTTTGGAATAGATGGTTTTAAAATTTCCGCAGGGGATAATCGTGTTAAAAAATCTCAGACATGTACATGTAAATTCAAGATTTGTGAGATCGAAAATTGTATATCCCGTCATTTGTAACTAAAAATATTGGGTGTAAATGTGAATTGTGCCTGCATTGTATGTGGAGAGAATTCTTTGAAAATTATACCTGGACTTTCAGCATCCGACTGTGCAAAAATATAATTCATATATACCGATCGTAAGTTTCCTTGACATATATGGACGTTAAAATCACAGGCATTTGGAGGCTGGACCGCCCCCCCCCCCTTCATTTTCTTACTTTTTAAATCTGGGGTCGACACACCTTTTTCCTATTTTGGTATAGTCTGATATGCACTACATGATATCGATTATCTAACCCATTGTTTTTAAATATATCGTTTTCGACTGATACATAAAAAGAGAGAAGGCTTGCAACTCTTTTCTCGTCAACCGCCTAACCCCGCTTAAATTTCGCGTGATTATTTATCTAAAGCATAACAAAATACGGTATATGTATACATTTAATAACTCTGCAAATTCCAAGGGGGGGGGGGTCCGGAAACCAACACTACTGGCCTAAAAAATTACTGATAGTGCCACTTTTTACTGATAATTTCTGATATTTACTGATATTATACTGTTGGTACTGAGAATTTCTGATATTTGCTGAAAGTTTTACTGTTGTTACTGATAATTACTGTTGTTTCTGATAATTACTGATATTTACTGTCATTTTTACTGTGGGTTCTGATAATTACTGATATTTGCTGAGAGTTACTGTTGGTACTGAGAATTGCTTGTAATTACTGAGATTATTTTCTAAGTTCATGAGATGTAAAATTTAAAAGAGACTGGGGTGGATGGATTAAATAAATTAAACAAATTAATTTCATATAATAATTTATCCTTTATATCTTTTTTTTAACCCGTAGTCGTTTAGAATTTGTAACTTGAGTGACAGCAAGGATGGTATACATTTTGTCATAAAAAAATTATTTTCAAACTAATTATTATATATAGGAAAAAACTTAGATTTCTCTTTCTGTAAGAAGATTCAACCTGCCACCCCCCCCCCCCCCTCCCATTTCATCCTGTTCCTTAGTTCCGAAGAACTTGTATTATTTCAATCGATGACTAGTAGGCCTAAAAAGACGTAATAAATCAGTTTCTTATTATAAAACCAATTTAAACAAAATAAATTGGATTCACATTTAATCCATACATATGGTGCGGTGATGTTGGACATGGAGATCGGTCCTGGGACTGTATAAACCGCGGTCTTCTGTTAAAGTAGGTGCTGGCACGAAAAAGATTCCTCGGTGATCAAGTAGTGCAGAGTCACGAGAAAGATCTCTCTCTGTTCATTGTTTATAAGTGCAGAGTACAGATAGAAAATTGCAGGAGAAAGATTGCTCATAAGTAAAAAATGCCGCCGAGTACATGTCAAAAGTTGAACACGGAAGGTCCTGCCACTGATTTATGGACATATACATGTACAGTGCAGCGTAGATGTCGAAATTCGCAGCTTTTAGTAGGGAAATAATAGTGTCCCAATATGAGTGACACGTTATCTAAAGAACACATGTAAAAAAAAAAAAAATAAAACCGTTCATTTTCAATGCCATATAAAGCACTGTAGTTATTTGTTTCAGAAAATTCTTGATCCGCCGCTCCTAAGAATTATATAAGAGATTGGATCAAAGTTAGTCAAGATCGATACACCACCAACCCGTTCACAGGTTGTAATGTTTTGAACATTTTCTAAAGCATTACAGATTTTCATAGGAAACATGTAACAAGTAGTTCAAAACCTTTAATCTTGTTAAAACACATACCATATATAATGTTTCTCGAATACATTGATCATGATTTCATTTGTGTCGTCAAAAATATTTTTAATAAATAGAGATTTTTAATGGACTGTCAGTTAAAACAATCAATGGGAAAATTAAATGTGTGCGCAAATTTATATCATTTGGCATCAAAAGTGATTGGCCGATCACAAAAATGCTAAGTCTGCAAAAAGTTTCAACAAAATAAAAAATTCAGAAATCATATTTCGTGAACAAAGGCGGAATTCTTTCTCATTCTCAGCAGAAAAAAAAGTTTAATTCAATATTCAATATTATATAGCATAATACAACATCACATAGTAAGTTTCGAGCATAGTGCAGCAAAAAATTGGGTTGGGGGGTTGGGGCTTTGATTAAATAGAAATTTCCATACTAAAATTTCAGCAAGAATGCCTGTATCTTCTGTTTTAGAAGATATACCCTGCTCTTCAAAGTCTGCCTCGACTACCACTTTCAGTTCAATATCCGAGTCGACAACGCAACAATCTAGTGAGGAGGAAGCAACAACTCAACAATCTTGTGAGGAGGAAGCAGACACACAGCAAGATGAGACGGCCATTGAGTCAAGACGTGAACCCGCAAGGTATATCATACTGTTATATGTACACAACATAAAATAATTAATTTAAGGATAAATAACACAAATAAACTTTTTTTTTCAGAAATCAGCAATATTTCCCATAGATTGATATCGAATGGGAATCTGAATGATATTTTCTACATGCGCGGATCTAGGAAGGGGGAGGTCCGGAACCCCCCCCCCCCCCGAAATTTGCAGAGTTATGAAAAGTATACTAAACCAACAAAAGGTGATCTCCCCCTAGAAAACGTGGATACGTATTAAGTTGGTATGAAAAGTCATAGATATGAATTAAGCTTTACCCACTTTATTTTGCAGAATGAGAGAAAGAGAGAGAGAAAGCGTGTGTTCTTTTTTCTGTAAATAAATATAGATATTTTTAGGTCTAATATTTGAATAAAATAGTTCAATCTCTGTCCTTTCTGTTTGTTAGATAGAGTTTCGAGTATTAGCTTTCCTCCATGTAGCTTCAAAACACTGGCCCCGAGCAAGGGGTCATTAATCTGAGAATAATATCTTTTGCTGTAGTTTTAATATGTTAGTTTTGATTTGGATGCTTCCCCCACACATTTCGTTGCTGGAAGGTCAAAAGACGCTAATTCAAGCATTTGAAAAAGTGCTGAAAAGTTAGAGGAACCCCCCCCCCCCCCCCCCCGGGAAGGAAATACTGACGATTTTAGAGTGTGGTGGACAGGTTTTCTTTTAATTGATTTTTATAGTTTCGTGATTCTGTGTGTAGCTTTTTTTCAATTATATAGCGAAGTCGATACAATTTCTCCGGCCCCATCTGCACAGGCAAAGAGAAGGAAGATCTCCCTTGACCAACTCCAGAAGATGCAGTATGAGGTAAGAAAGGGCTGAATTCGTTCTACCAATGGAAAGGATATAATTAATCTGATGTGTCTTTTAAACATTTTTTTGTTCAATATAAATATGTATATGACTAAAAAAGGTAGAAACGACGAATAAAAAAAAATCTGTTTTATTCCGAAGGTTTTATGCTGTCAGAAAAAAAAACTTTGAACTGCAGAACATGAAGCTCATTAAAGACCTGCAACGGACAGACCTCGAGAAGAAGAACATCGAGTTACAAAATACTAAGCTTGTGTTGCAGATTGAATGCCTGAAGCAGACTGTCTCTCAGAATGAAAATGCTTTCCTAGCTCTACAAGCAATTACTGATGAATAAAATAGCATGCATATTACTGTGTTTAAACATCACACATTGTATTATCATATCATTAACATATAAAAGTTTTTATTCAAAAATTCATTTCTGTTGATTCAATTTAGAAATAGGTTCTGGTGATAAAGTTTCTGATAGCCCTTCCATCCTCAGGTCCACAATAAGTCAAATGAGCTGCGGGGTTGTCATCTTGTGCATCATCGTCCTTCATCTCCTCCTTTAGAGACAATGCAGTATAATGCAGAATTGCACATGCGCCAATTATTCTGCAGACTTTTGCAGGCTTCATCTTAATTTCACTGTGCAGGACATGGAACCTTCTTTTCCACCACCCAAAAACTCGCTCAATGGTGTTTCGTGTGCGACAATGGGCTGCATTAAAGGCTTCCTCGGAAGGGTTCGCATGGTGGAGGTACGGGGTAATGAGAAACCTGGAACAAGCATAGCCGCTATCACCAAGAAGATAGCCGTCCTCAACGCCACGATGGTTTCCTTCCAAGAAAATGCTGACCTCGGACGTCCGAAAAATGTGGCTATCGTGGGTACTACCAGGCCACCGTGCATCAATGTTTATAAATTTCCCTGCATGTATATAAAATGCATTGTATAAAATATGCTTTCAACCAAAGTTCAAAATTTTCTATGGTAAATAAAATGCTAAAAAATCATCATAGCTCTAGATTTAGATAAAAAAAAATATTCAAGTTTAGTTTACGCTAATCTCTGATAGTCATCTTAGAATGGGGGGAAGCAATTGATGTTAACAGTTTCTGAGGGATGGGTATAAATTTTTTTCGAGGATTTCACTTAAACGCACCTCTTTTAATTTCGGGAAGGGTGCATGGTCCATATCATAATTATATATGCTTAATGGTTTTCTTTAAAAACAACAACAACAACAACAAAAAAAACAAAACAAAACAACTATATAATTTGTTTAGTAAGGTTTAGGATATTAGTTAATTTAGACATGATATCTTGGCATATATCAGAATTTTTTACCTTGCTTTTTAAAAAAAACAAACATAGGTTGTTGTTTTTTTTTTTGGGGGGGGGGAGGGGGAGGTGAGAGGGAGTCCTTCTCAGATCTTGTGCTCTAGAAGCTGAACGAAAATAGTCACTGTCGAAGAATTATTGTTTTTAAAGTATGAAATAGGATCAATGTATGATAAGATACTACACTGTACAACATGCATGTACCTTCGTGGTCACAAATAGCCTGTACATTGATGGAATGATACCCCTTTCTGTTAACAAATACGGCCTCATCTTCCGTCGGCGCTTGTATTCGAACATGTGTTCCATCGACACAACCGATAACTCCTGGAAATCCTCCCCTTGTAAAGAAATTTTGTTTTGATCTAGCAATTTCCTCTTGACTGGGCCACTTTATAAATCTGTCTTTATTTGCAAGGAGTGCATCAGTAACACGATTGACGGCTCTGCTAACTGTACTCTTATCAAACCCCATAGTATCTCCTATCACCTCCATAAAACTCCCAGAGGCATAAAAACGAAGCACCAGCATAACCTACAAGGATTTTGTACTGTTTATTAATTTTTTCTGTTGAATTTTAAATGTGTTTCAAGAGGATATAAAGAGTGCACATGGTTACGCCGCTGTCAGAATTCTTGCATAAATTAATGACGTCATAATCAAAATGACGTTTTTTTTATGAGCGTTAATTTGTTTAGATTTTTTACTTCAAATTTTCATCTTTACATTGTTAAAGATAGTTCCTTCATTTGATTTTTACACTAATATTGTGTGTAATTAAAGATTTTCGGTACTTGCAGTAAAAACAATGAAACGTTATCTTTTAATATTTTGCTTTTACATACTTTAAATATGAGGTTTTACATTGACACTACGTGTAATAAAACGTGTTATATAAAACTTTGCAATATTTTTTATAAAATATGTAGTTTCTAAGTCATATTCAGTTACGGAGAACTATGATTGTCTTTCTGAAAGAAAGTATGGCAAGAAAAAAAAAAGTTTCATAACATGTTTATGTTACATGTCTAAAATTTATTATGGCGTTGAACAAACTTTTTCAAGTAACTGGTCTGAGGCTATACTGTAGTAACATGATGATCGTTTAAATGTTCAGTTTAAATATAATCGTGGTAATGACAATTCATGTATGTGAACCCAGAGAAATAAATACCTGCATTTCCACAGATATGGACTGACTTCGCTTTGTTGCTCTTTGCAGATCATTTCGCAGCATGTTCGAAATATAAGTAAGCGAATCTCGTCTAAATCGAAACCGGGATCGGATTTGAGTGTCACTCAAGTCGGACATTTCTATTCTCTCTCTGTATTTTCTCTCTTTCTTCTCAGCAAACAAGTTCCCAAATAATAACAAATCCGCCATCTTGATTTTTAATGTTTAATTAAATATTTAATGTACCTAGGTTACCTCAGTTAAATCTGTTAGTTAAATCAGAAAATTAATTAAGCTTTAACTGTCAGTTAACTTTCGTGCAACCCATTTAACTCGCCGTTAAATTTAACGTCGCGTTAACGTAAAGTTAACGGCCAGTTAAATTTAACTAACGTTCGTGCAACCGGATCCTGCTTTCTTCCAACTTTAATGTATAGGCTCAGCTCTTGGACCTCTTAGTTTTAATATACGTCAATACTGCTTTTGAAAATATGCTATCAATGTGTAGACTATTTGCTGATGAACATGCATTGCAACATGCGCGTCATTTAATTTATTAATACAGAATATAAGTTAAGTGTTCTAGATAAATGATCGAGCAAACGGCACTTAAGAAATAAGCCTGTTTTACTAAAACTACTTTTTTCAAGGCAATTCACTGGAATATGTACCAGTTCATCGCCATGAAGGCCGTTTGTTTTCACAAAATATAAGCTGGACTGAATATATTGGTTGTATTGTAAATAGAGCTTCAAGGAAATTGGGTTTACTAAAGAAACAGAAATTTTCAATGAGTAGTAAGAGCCATTCCATTTTGTATAAAAGACATACTCGAATACGCTTCAGTTCTCTGATTGCTGCTCTCTATCTGATGTAGAAAAAACTTGAAATACGTGCAAATTAACCGCTGCTAGGATAGTCACTGATCATCCAATACTAGCCTCGAGAGAATCGCTTTACTTCGAAACAGGATTGGTACCTCTTCGAAGAATCGTCGTTACGCAGCAAAAAGACAACCATGTTTAAAATTAATCATGATAATGCACCGGGAATTTAGGAGAAATAATGCATTAGAAAAGAGGCAACATGAAATATATGGAGATAACGAACAGTATTCAAGCTCAAAAGTCCATTAATCAATACAAAATAGGAGCAGAGCAAACACGGACCTCCAAACATCAGAGGTTGGATCAGGTGCCATGGAGGAGTGAGCATCCCCTGCCGACCGGTCACACCCGCCGTGTGCTCCTTGTCATGATCGGGAAATAACGGAAAAATCCGTCGACAATTCAGTGTGTAAATAATGGCCTAACAATTACTATGAAAAAAGTCAGTCAGCATTTGACTCAATGATAAATTGTATTTGCTGACAAGGTCATTGTATCGACCATAGAACTTACGAAATGATGACTTTAAACGAGACAGCTGATATTCTTGTTTCATCAACTTATTTGTCAATAATTTACCTCGTTTTAGAAATTGTACATACGTAGAGCATGCTCTTGCGTATCGAATCAACTGAGAGATATATACCCCGTATGCAGGTGATGAAGGTATATTGCTGCATAAGTAAGGGAAGTTGACGATTGAAAAGTTAAAGTCATCACGTTTATCATAAAGCTTGGTTGTTAGATTACCATTAAGGTCTTTTTCAAGTAAAATATCCAAATATGAAACAGATGTGTCAGACTCTGTGGTATCTTTTATCTCAAGTTCACAAGGATATATTGTATCGACATAAGAATGGAAATAGCCATTGTTAATTGACAATACGTCGTCGATATATCTAAATGTCGAGATGAAGGCCACAGCAAGTGTTTTCTTCTTTTCACGTACAAGATTTTGGACAAATTCTGCTTCATATGAATACAAAAAAATGTCTGCTAAAAACGGGGCGCAATTGGTACCCATGGGAATTCCAATAGATTGTTGGAAGACCTGGTCTCCAAAAACCACATAGATATTGTCAATCAGAAACTCAAGCATCTTTTTAATGTCAACTTCAGAGTACTTGTGTGAACAATCAGAATGTTTTTTAATAAAAAAATAATTTTGCAAATGACCAATGACAAGGTAAGTATATTTACGAGTTCCTTTTTTATTGAAAAAGCAGCTGTCAATGATATCAAAAAGCCTGGACTTTAATTTATCGTGGGGAATGGTTGTGTACAAAGTTGAAAAGTCGTAAGTTTTTAAGCTGTTGATTTTGGTAAAATCTTGTGATTTCAAATTTTCCAAAAGTTCCTTGGAATTTTTAAGTATCCACATCTGATTTACACCATTCTCGAATATATTGTTGCACAGTACTCTTGAAGTTTCTCCTTTACCACTGTTAATATCTTAGTGAGGAGTAAAGATAGAAGCTTGGTTGAACATTTACTGGAACCCGCTATGTATCTTTGTTTGTAAGGATTTTTATGAAGTTTCGGAATCCAATATAAATATGGTAAATCAAATTCATTTTGGTTGTTTGGAATATTAAAAATATTCAAAACTGACATATGATTTTGAAGAATATCTTCCTTAGAAAGGGAACTATGAGTATAAGTTGGATTACCACTTGTAGAATTAAATCGAAGTTCCTCTAAAATACATTTAATATAATGAGCCTTACAAACAAAGACAATGTTGTTACCTGCTTTATATAATATAACATATAATAGATCACCTAACCATTCCAAAAAGGCAGGTTAAAAGTGCTTCATTCATCATTTGTACCAGACGCTATTAAAAATGGAATTCATCAAATACATGTACAGATACCAGAGAAGGCGTCTCGGTAAATTCCTTCCGTACAATGATCAGAGTGATGCTTCAAAAGGACTCTCTTTTTTTTCATTCGTTAAACGCATTTCTAATATAATCCATACCAAATTGAAGCATGACTGCATATTCAGTCAAGATTTATACAAACGAATTGTAAACATTTTTGGTTGTAGAAAGTATCTTAATGCTAGATATGATCTTTTCGAATATCATTGTTACACTTTATTAGAGGTCATAGATGTACACCAACTACTTTGGGGTAACGAAAACCTATTACTACATCTGTACAATGACATTTTGCTGCCGTTCAAAATTTAATTGTGGGATCCTGTAGGTTTGAATAGCTATATATAAATAATTACATGTAGTTTATTTGTATACGTTTTTAAAATTATTTTGCTTAAAAACTATGCGTTATATGTAAGGAGAATAAGTTGTCTAATAAATCGACAGTTGTCAAATCTAGTTTCTGATTATCTCAATAAAATATGTTGAAAACAAAACAAAGAATGATAACTCGCGCTGCGGCAAAGAATAATAGTAAGTCACAAACCTTTACTCTTTTATCCTTAAAATATTGAGAGTTCAGTCTCCAGGTGGTAGAAAAACAATCATATTTACCTTTTTGTCTACTCTTGTTATTTATTTAATTAAGTGTCATAGATATTAATTAACGTAGATTCCTCAACAAATGGTGAAGGACCATTCTCTATAAGGCCGTTTTGCGGTTAACTATATAGTCTTTGATTTACTATGAAACTTTACTCTGAATTTTTTTTTTTTTTTTTGGGGGGGGGGGGAGATTTCAAAGCTTTAAATCTCTTAAATTGGATAAAGATTATGTAAAATTTGGAAATACATGTAGTATGTGAATATACAAATGATACTTCCTTATAATGTAAAAAATGAGCATGTATGAATTGAAAAACAAAGCGTATAACAATCTGTAATCAATATAAAAAATCGTAAAAAAGTTTGATACTATGGTAAAGTATAGTTAACTATAGTATTTTTTGTTAGGGATTATAGTCTTTTAGCCTTTTATGTTAAGGCTGAGGTTGTTGTAGATGTGACTCAATGTAAAACGTTTTATGGAAGCAACACACATCTTTGATAGCAAAACCATCTTCGAGAATAGCTGCTCCATCTTACAAAACCAGATGCCAAAGGGGGGGGGGGGTTCCGTTGTGTTGTTTTGCACCATTCAAGAGTTTTTAAACAATGTAGAGATAATCAATTCAGGCTACGTGTCAGAAATTTTTGACCTATGCGTGACGCCTAATTCGACCATGACAATGGATCTCCCTTTGAAAGGAAATGTAGAACTATGACTCACAATGTAGGGTGCTTAGCAGTCACTACATACATGAAAATGAAATGCATTTAAAAATAAAGTTTTTAGAATAAGCCGGATCAAACAGAAATCGAACCTTGGGCCTCCAGTTCACGAAGCGATCGCCCAATTACTTCTAGGCTTCTGTGAGAGCTACGACACATATGCACGCAACTTAGAAGTTGCAGAGACCTCAGTGGAAAGAAGGTTTTAGCATCTGGCGAGTTTTTATGGAATGTCAGTTAAAGAGAAAAGGGGGGGGGGTAGAGAACTGGATTTGACATATCTGTCTGTTAAAAATATAATTTTTTCAATAACATTTGCTTTTAATTAAATATTGCGCTGTAACGCGTGCGTACATGTATATTTACAAATTAAAGGTAAAAACCAAAGCAATTTTATTTTCTATACATGAATACAAGTATATTTTAATACAAATGTTTTGTCTTTATACACAGTGTGCTCATATAATTAGTCAACAAGTCATTATATTAATATTTTCATCCTGTAAGTTAAAGGATTCTTTATTTAGTATATATCTAAATATTGTTTAATTTTTTTAACATCAAATTGTTTAATGTTCATTCATAAACAAGACTCTTTCAATGTGTTTGATATGATATACTCTTCTTTTTCATAATTCAATCCCCCATACCACATTTCTTTTATGCGAGTATTTTACGAAAATAGGTTGCATATCTACAAAAAGGTTACTTAGGAATAATTCAAACTTATATGAACTTAGTTTAATTAATTAAAGTAATTGACAATTAAGAATGTATGAACGTCATACGGATTGCATTTTCTAAAGATTTACATTCAAATATGCAAAATCTAAATGCAGCACACTTCTTGCTATAAAAATTGATGTTATTCTTTGTTGAAAGGATGTGTTATTTTAGAAAGTATATGTAACCTACACATATAAACATTTTTTTTTACCTTTCACTTCAAAGAACATTCATATAAACTTGATTTGAATAGACCAGCCCTCATTTTTTCTTTATTTGCCCGCCATTGTTTCTCTCAATAACGTGAATAAAATGCTCGATGTTGAAAAATAAACACCAAAATCATAAAAAAGGGAATTTACTTAACTAAAATCATGTTTAACATGATTTCATTGTAGGTCAAAAAACGATCTTATAGAGAACGAACCCTCATGTAGCAAGAGTCCAGAGTTCCATGACCAAGTAAAAAGACATCTGAGCTAGGGCTCATACCAAGACCCATGGGCCTTTTGTTCTATGAGTTATATTTCATACTAAAATATGTTCAGGAAGAGACGCATCTTTCACAAAACGTTTTGCATTTAATGAAATAGAACATCCCATCACATTGATCTTACTGGGATTGTCTTTTCTAATTTTGTCTTTCATCAAGCTTCATGACATTTTGAACAGTCACGTCTGCCTAGCGGTAGGACATTCGCTTCGTGATCGGGGTGATGCTAAAACATGGAACGCAAAACGGAACGGAGAACGGAAAATATGATACCAGGTCAAATCACATGACAAATATATAAATTCAAACCAAAAATGATATATATTATATATATTATTCATATTAAATCCTTGATTATCAGATTATCAATTTACTTGATTTAGACATATTTATTCTCATATGAAAATCCCTGAACAAGGAATAGCATAGAGTACGGAAAACGATCCAGAAAGTTTAATGCCGTGCATATATAAAATTTCTTTGTGGTAAAATATATATAAGTGGTATGATTTTATTGAAGACCATTCTGATCAACATAAACTGCGGATAACGTACATATACATGCATGTCTGCATACCCCCTCCAACTACCAAAAAACCAAATTGTAAAACTGAAAAAAAGAAACCCACAAAACGATTGTACAGGATGACATAAAGGTTGAAGTGATGGAGAAAACACTTGTATTCGAGAGAATATAGACTACTGGGGGTAAGGGGTGATAATGCACAGATGTACGTTATCCACGCTTCAGGTGCCTGTGGATTGCATCAGCAGTCGTGTAGTTGTAATAAACTTGTCTTTTATTCTTTTCTCAATACCAGTGATCGTTGTCTCGAACACAAATGTGTACATAATTATTATTTCTCCCTCTTTGTTTTAAAACAACATGGCCTGTTTTAAAATAAATGATAAAAAGGGGAGTTTTGTCTTTCATAATAGGCTTTTTTTAAAATTAGATTTGGACCAGTGATATCAGATAGATACTTTGGTCTTGAGCTTAATTAGTATGTATTTTATTGGTCATCGCATGTATGTACTGAGAAATAAAATACATTGTTAGAATGTTATGATATTGTTAATGAGATATGAAGTATTAGATAATGATTACTGGTTCCTATCTAATTTATAATATGTGTGTGAAGTAAATAACTTGCTATAGGATTTTCCGTTCCGTTCCGCTTTCCATTCCGATTTCCTTTTCGCGATTTAGCCACCCCACGTGATCGGGATCGAGGCCCGGGTTCGATTTTCGTTCTCCGTGTTGCGTCAAACATAAGGTATATGTAAAAAGTTCCCTCGCCAAGCGGCATTAAAAGTGAAAGTCACGGGTCTTTCGGGTGGGGCCTTAAAAACCGAGGTCCCTTGTCACAGTGTTGGCACGAGAAAAACCCTTACTGCTAAATCCTCCGAGTGTCGGGTATAGATCTAAACTTGAAGCCCTTCGCCGGTATAAGGTAATGTCTTTACATGAATGAAAAAAATCTCGAAAGGGACGTGAAAATCAACATAAAGTGTACATATACAATTCACAATCAGGATTTTTTTTTTACAAGTACCAGTTGAAAGGTATAACTATTACATCGATTGTAAAACTTTGGGGGGGGGGGGGCTGACAATAAACTTCCTGCTATTCAAGGTTTTTAAATGATATGTAATGCTTATCAGGAATTAGGGTACTAAGATAATAAAAACACACAAGCTTTATCGATCAACATAAACGTATTACATCTAGGATATTTACTCTATCTTGATATCAAGGAGGCTTCTTAGAACTTAGCTGTTTGATGTTTGAATAATAAAACTCTATTCTGCAAAATACGTACAGTTATAAAAATATTTATCCGGGTACTCAAAATTGACATAAGTATTTTGAAATAAAGTATTTATTCCATTTGAATGAATGTGCCCATCTTCATCTACCTTTATAAATTAATGGGCCCTTAGGCCAGGCAGGCAAGTTTTCCTTTGCTCTGCGTCTGTTTCGTACAGTGTACCACATTTCACCAAAAACGTACTAAACGCACAGAGAAGTACCATATGGCCGACATCATTAAAATGATTTTATTTAGTTTATCTTGTTAAAGAGATTAATTTGAATATTTATTAAATCAAGGATCCTTGTGAGACTGAAGATACATATATTTTATATCGTGTCTGGTAATATTCAATTTTGAAAAAAAAATGTATAATTATTTTTCATTGATTTATACTCGGTACATGCATCGTATGTTAATTTATATAAGGATTTTGTCCTCTCAATATTTTAACACTCAAAAGCTCTTCACACTGGCTTGAAAATTAGAAGTCCTCATACATGTCTATTAAAAAATGATCTTGTTGAGGCACTGCTTCAATAAGCACAAAATACAAAATATGCAGATCTTATGGTACATGTATACCAGAAAACAACGTGCAATTTTTTTCAACATTCATTGAATCGAAATTTTCAAATTTAGAATCTGCATTTAAATTTACACAAATATTCAATTTTTAACGTAGTTAAATTTTCACATCCCACCTGTAGAGGTTTTTATTGTGGACATGTAAAAAATAACAAAACGTATAGAATTCACTTTCTCCATCCTTTTTTACTCATGGATGACTATTGGACTAATTGGTTGCCTGATTTTATACTTAAGCTTTTTGCAAAATTTTAGAATTGCACAAACCTTTGAAAATTACTTTATTCTTAATCTTTTCTTTTTCACTTATTCTTTTTCAATCAATTTGCATGGCGGAGGAAGATCATGTGTCAAGATTCTACTTTCAGCTGGGACTTAACTGGTCAAGAAAAACTCTTCATAATCCCCTGACGCAAAATTCTACCTATACCTTGTTTTTAATTTTATATGCTGAGCTCAAAACAGATAGAAGATACTTATATAACCCATGAAAATTCCTGACGATGCGCTGTGCAATTGAACAGAGGCAAAAACCGTCGAAACAGACCAACTGAAAAAAATACTTAACCTATTTAAATATCACATTTACAAGCAGTTTTAATTGACCTTATTGATTTCATTTTTTTGAAATAATAAATATTATCACATATTACAGAAAATACCCCCCCCCCTCCACATTTTTCATTTGTGACATCGAAAAAAAAGTAGAAGAAATAAAACCCAGATGTCAAATACTTCATAAGAAAAACATATTAAGAGAAGAAATAAATAAAAATGTGACGTCTTTACAATGTTGACAACATTCGGAATTCCTTCAGGGCTGTCGTCAAACAAAAGTAAATGCCACGAGAGTTGGTCGTTTCCGGGCTGCGATTGAAAAGGTAAAGAGAATATTTGAAATAGGTCGACTGTATAAAAAGATAGATCGCCACGGACGGAGTTAAACATGGATCGTGTTGTATTGTTCCTCGTGGCTATCACAGGTAAGTTTTATTTACCTTACTGTACTAGTGTTCTGTAACATAATTAATGCACTTTTAAATCTATACATACATGTGACAGGTAAAATATGCAGCCAGCCAAAACAGTGGTGTTTGTAGTTGCTTATATATTTACTGTTTTTCAAGGATGCAGTAATTTCCTACCTTTAAACGAATATATTTAATGTTAAATTCTTTTACAATACTGTATTTGCTGGGAGAAAGTGCTCTTAACGCCTACATTGAATCGAAAATAAATATGCAAACAAAAAGCATTACCATTAATCAAAAATGGCATGCTCTTGGAATGACAATAATACCAAACGCTTCCGAATATTACTATTGTCATATTGTTTTGTTTATTGGATGAATATTGTTTTTAACAGAGGCTATCCTCGTCAAATTAAAAATAACACTCATAAACTTTTTATAAATCTAATTATGACTGACTTACATTGAAGTATATATATTTTTTGGCTTGCTAAGTAAATAACTGTCCTTTGCCAAGAACCCAATGATATGACAGTTCTGGCTAACACTCCAGTACACACGTATTCGGGTAAGGTCAAGCGCGTTCAAATAATAAATTTGCGCAAGTCGGTCTCCTCTAATATAAAGAAACTGGTCAGTCTCTAGAAGTGAACAAGACGAGAACGCTCTCCATGATTTTAATGCTATGTTTCTTGTTCAGTTTTCTTTAGATTTTTTTTTATTACAATCATGCATTTACAGAAAGGGTCTCAGTCATTTATTCAATTTACGACGGGGTGAACCTTTCCTTATCTTGATTTATGTACGTTAATGCAAACACTTCCTGCTTTTTCTTTTGGAAATGATATAACTTTATAGTGCATAAATAGAAATATTTGATTTGAGGGGCTTGCTTTCTTTGTTTATTTAAAAACAATCCAAATCATCCGTCCTTTCAAAGTAAGATATCATAACCTGATAATATCCTAACAAGCATAATATGATCTTTGTTAATGTGTTTTATATATGCGTATCTTAAGAAAATAATAATATTGGCACTTTTAATTTTAAAAAAATTAAAGATAAAACACACTGTCAGGTGAAGTCACATTTCCATTTTTTTTTTAATTTCTTGTTTAAAAATAAACCGGCATTTCATGTTTGTGAGAATTTCCTTGATGATTTAAAAAAAGAATATATCTCACCTTATACATGTAGATTAAGGACCCGAAGTATGTTTGCCTTTCCGGCTTTATCTATATTTATTCTCTACTTCATTGTAATCTTTAGTCGTGTATAAAGTTTATTAAGGTGATGAGCTCTACCCGGCAATAAAACAAGAAAATGAGCTTGTTTGCAAGTCTATGCGTAGTAATTCTTGTATCAAAAATGCACCAGTTGCCATGCACGTAAAAAATTGGAGAATGTTTAAGTTTGGGATAGGTTTAAGAGCTTGTTTACATAACATCGATATTTGAGCCCTTTTTATTTTGTGACCACACTACTCCGAGTTCCAATGTATATAATCCTTATTTTAATTACACATACGTAAATGCAAAAATTACAGATGTTTTCGATTTACCTTTCCCGATTTGTGAAATGATTAATTGTTGGTTTCAGAAAAGTTTGATATGAAGGGATTAACGATTTTTTTTAATTTGATATTTTAAGAAAATGTCGCACTGCATGTGCGATTCTACCTATGTTTATTGAGTTTTAACAATTATCTTTTGAAGCCTCGTAAAGATGGAATTGGATTAATTTTTAAATGTTAATTATTCTTAGAAAATCATGATTTAATCAAAATAAAATATATTTCTACAGTAATTATGAAAAAAATCAGATTCTTTTCAGATAATATTTAAATTTGACTTTTCTGGATCCAATATTTTACATGAATTTATCATTTCCGTACAATATTTTTGTAGCATCCTGTTCCGCCTTGCAACAGGCTGACGTAGACTACATTGGTGCAAATCTAGGAGTGAAAATCTCAGTTCACGATAACACAAAATATGACGGGGCAAAACACAGATTCAGCCTATATCTCACAAACACCGGAAGTGAAGTAATCAGACCAGACAACTGGTCCATATACTTTTACAGTTTCTTTATGATTGAACCTGGACACCTCCCTTCGGCGGAAGGATACACATTACCGAACTATAAAGTGAAATTTAACCATATTAAAGGTTGTTTATTTAGTATGACCCCGACTCCAGATTTTCCAAATATTTTACCAAATGGATCTCATTTCATTGAATTTTTCGGACAGTGGTGGACTGTTACAAGAACAGATATACCTCCAAACTGGTACGTCACAGGGCAAAACATGAACCCCGCGAATATTGAATCAACTGCGACAGGAAAGAAATTTGTGACAAATTATGATACTATCGGTCAATGGAAGAGATATCGAAACGACCAGTTTAACCCCTTCACGCCTCAAGATCGTTATAGAAGACAGAAAGTTCGAAACTTCAACACTCATGCAAAAATGATTATCCCTACCCCCAAACACATTACAGTTCTTTCCCAGCAGTCTTTGCGTATAAGTGAAATGACAGCAGTATGCACCCAGAATGTTTCAGGAAGTTGTATCCTTTTGAATGGTAAGACTTTTTCATCATAAATTGATCATACTTGGTAATTACATTAAAGAGAGGTGCTTGGATCTTAAAAATGCTAATAGAATATCAACATCTAGATAGATTACTAACAAGTCACATTAATATTGTCATTATTATGTTTAAAATTTGTAAAAAAGACAAAAAGATGACTTTCTAATATTTAATTTAATTTGACTGGATAATCATATTGAAAGCATCTTGATTTTAAAAATTGACTGTTTACAGCTTTAGTTTTTAATTTTATAAAACTATTTTTTTCATTGTTAAGTTTTAGGAAAATGTTCCTCTATATAAGCCCCCCCCCCCCCCCAATGAAATGGATTGAAAATAAATAAAAATGAGTGCATGTGCAGTTAAATTAATTATTGCTTTTACTATATTGAAACAAAGCACTGAATTGGTCATTTTCATCTCAGAGTTAGAAAAAAAAAAATGATTACAATTCTTGAAAAAAAAGTACAATTCATCTAAGAAATTACAGTTATATGAAAATGGTAACAAGATTTGTAATATATATTTTTCTTTTTGTAGAAAAATTAGGAATGAACACAAATATAGATAACAATGCTAATAACGACCAACAACGGAACACAATTCGAATCTTCACAAATTCCTCTATTGGTGAAAATTCTGGCTTTTATAGACTACACACTGATATATCAAAATCAACAGTAACCCTGGTAGGGAGCACCCCTACAGCTGTGCATTATGGGATACAGTCTCTCCTTAGTTTGGTGGCAGGATCTCATGATAAAAATAGTATGCCAGACGTGTCAATTGAAGACGAGCCTCGTTTTCAACACCGAGGTATGCACGTGGATGTGACAAGGAACTTTCGGACAAAAACGGATATTTTGCGATTAATGGATGCCATGTCAATGTACAAGATGAATAAACTACATTTACACCTGTCTGACGATGAAGGATGGAGGATAGAAATCCCAGGTATCCCAGAATTGACGAAGGTAATTATTCCTATTCTACTACATGTATATTCTACAGTAACTATAGTTTTGCTTTGTCCTATTTGTGTTTGGATAACAATAAGATAACAAATAGAAACAGAGTTTTTTGGTCTTCATTTATCTATTTATTTTATTTATTCCTAATTTTAAGCTGTAATTCATTAATGCACTTTATTTGTTAAATTTGTGTTATAAAATGATATGCTAAATTTGTATTATGAAATGATATGATGTACGTCCTTCATTTAATTCTTGTTTTATCTGAAAACATAATATGCATATTTGTATTATAATATCATTCATGCTATTTACTTTTGTATATTCCGCTGGAAATCTTATTTCTTTTAGAAAACAATAAAACACATATGTTAATCAAAAAACTAATAGTGTAACAATAATTATAATAAAAACAATAGTGGCTTTGAAAAGTGAAACCTAATTTTTAAATAGTTATGATATCTACAGAATCTATGATCTGCCATTATATATACTTTTATCATAAAGTTTATTGGAATTTAAAAAAAGGATTTAATTGTATGGAATAGGAACGACAGAAATGCATTTGATTCGATACACATGAACATGCTCTACGTACAAACACTTTCTTAAAAGAAGCAAGCTTTTGACAAATACGTTGATGAAACGAGGATATCAACTGTCGCATTTTAAGTCCACATTTAACAAGTTCTATTGTTGATACAATTACCTTGTCAGCAAATACAATCTGTCGTTTAATCGAACGTTAACTGACGTATTTCATACAAACTGTTAGACCACTATGTTCACACGGAATTGTCTACGAATTTTTTCGTTCGTTCGTTCTTGAACAGGAGCACACAGCGTGTGTGACCGGTCGACAGGAGATACGTACTCCTCCATGGCACCTGATCCCACCTGATGTTTTAAGAGGTCCGAGTTTGTTCTGCTCCCAATTTGACTTATGAGTTTGATTACTATTCGATATCATCATACTCCATTGGGTAGCTATTAAATTCATTCCTTAAATGTTGATCTTAGAGGGCTAGCAGACTCTTCATTAGCGTGATCTTTTATCTTAAATAAACCGTCACGGTAGCTCAGTCGGTAGAGCGCTCGCTCCGTGATCGGAAGGTCGTGTGTTTGAATCACGGCCGCTACTGACCTATTACAATAAAATTAGATAGCAACTGTTCCTTAGCCAAGCGCTCGGCACCTTGAAGTGAAAGTTGCGGGTCCTTCGGATGAGACCTTAAAAACCGAGGCCCCGTGTTAAGGTAGGCGTTGGTACGATAAAGAACCCTCACTGCTCGATGGTCCAAAGTCCCGAGTAAAGGTCTAAATTTGAAGCCCTTCACCGGTAGAAAGTGACGTCTCTATACGAGTGAAAAATTCTCGATCGGGACGTAAAACAACATACAATCAACCATACATTAGATAATATTAATAAGATACATGTTGTCATTTGTATTTTCCTTTTAAAGGTTGGAGGAAAACGGTGCCATGATCTGGGGGAGACGAAATGTATTATTCCACAGCTTGGTTCTGGTGGAGATGACAACACTTCAGGTTCCGGATATTTCAATGTTTCTGAGTTTCAAGACATTTTAAGGGAAGCCACTAAACGACACATTGATGTCATTCCTGAAATAGATATGCCAGGACATTTTCATGCTGGAATAAAAGCTATGGAAGCAAGGTATCTTGAATATGAGAATTCCAACCCAGAATTAGCGAACCAGTATAGACTTATCGACCCAAACGACACGAGTAAATATGAATCTGTTCAAATGTTTAACGACAATGCAATAAATCCCTGCATTGAGTCAACATACACTTTTGTAGAGAAAGTTGTATCGGAAATTCAGAAAATGTATGAGAAAATTCAACCTCTGAAGTTTTTCCATTTTGGTGGAGATGAAACAGCAAAAAATGCATGGGTAAATTCCAGCGCATGTCAGAAACTGGCACATACGAATTCTTACTATGAGAAACCTCATCACCTTAAGGAATATTTTGTCAAGCGGATTGCCAACATAACAAATAGCTTAGGACTTAATCTAGCTGGTTGGGAAGACGGACTCATGGGTGATGATGAAGTACCAATTGAAAGAACGTCTATACCTAATTCTGAGGTATATGCAAACGGTTGGCAGAATATTTGGGAATGGGGAATAGGAAGAAGAGCTTATGTCCTTGCTAACAATGGATATAAGGTTTGTATTTTTTTTGTAATACATGTAATTAACATGAAAGCTCAATAGTACCAGCAGCTAGTCTGTGAAAGAGCTTCTGGGTTTAAATCCCGTTAGAGATTTGATCATTTTTGTAAATAGATATAACATCAAGTTGAGTCTAAACAATTCCAACTAATTTTCCCCCAAAACCGCCCTGAGTTCTTTTTTTTCTTTTATTAGCTTTTAAAATTAAACTACCATGTGAATTGTTTTGTCTATGTTTAGGTGGTTATGTCCCATGCAACTCATTTTTTCTTTGATCAACCACAAGCACCGGATCCGGAAGAGAGTGGTCTCTATTGGGCCACACGTTACACCGACGCCATGAAGACGTTTTACTTCCTGCCGGATAGACTTTACGACAATATCCATATCAAACGCTCTGGAGAGAGAATTACAAAAGCTGAGGTGTGTGGAGACAATAACGAAAAATGTCCTCCATTACAGAATAAAGAAAATATAATAGGTAAGTTTGTTCAAGTAAAAGATAGTTTATAATGGTATTGTGGGTAGTAATTTCTATCCAACTTGTAGAGAAGTACAGTACATTACTAAATAGCTAAGAAGTTACATATTGTAATGATTAATTAATTGTATGTTGTTTTACGTTCCGTTCGAGAATTTTTCACTCATATAGAGACGTCACCATATACCGGTGAAGGGCTTGAAATTTAGACCTTTATTTGGCCATTGAGCAGTGAGGAATCGTGCTAACGAAGTTAATCAAAAAATAAATCTTTTAATTAGAGTCCATTTTAAGACGTTGTTTATTTTCAAAGCATTAAGTTGCAATTTTGAATAAAACAATGAAAATTTTCAAAATATATATTATTAAAAAATAAAAATAAAAAAAGGGTCAAGAAGACTCATTCAGGGATAAATTATTGTCAGATGTATGAATGATACCTATAGTAGCATTTGCAATTCATTATTGATCAAATTTTTGAAATACCTGTTTTCTTGCCGATATTCTGATTCCTTATTAAATCCCTCAGATAAAAATCATATGAATGATATATGCACATGTATTGTGTAATAACCCTAAGTGAAGGTAATAATGTAAGGTAATTATATGTACTTGCAGGGAAATGTATATAAACGGCCCTTTTTAATACCCAATTCGTCTTCAATTATTTCATTCTTCATTACTGTTAAAAATATATCATCAAGGAAAAAACTATGAATTGATTTACACTGTGTGTATAATTCCAATGCTTATGTTAGAAGTGAAGGCAACGATTCACAGTTTTGTCTGTCACTTTTTATGTTCAGACCTTTCATTAAACATGTTTAACTTTCAAAGGTTTACAGGGCCAGTCTTGGGCTGAAACATTCATGACTCCGGAAATTTTCGACTACATGATATTTCCTAGATTACTTTCATTGGCTGAGCGTGCTTGGCACAAAGCATCATGGGAAGATTTGGAAAACCCAGAAAAGGACATTGTTGCAGCAGAGGACTGGGAGGTATTTGCAAACACAATCGGCCACAAAGAATTGGACAGACTTGGGAAGCTAGGAATTAAGTACAGAATAGCGCCACCTGGTGCCATGTAAGAAAGCCATATTTAATAGTTTTAAGCTCATCTGAGAAAAAGGCTCAAGTGATATTTTTGAGGTATGTCCAGTGCACAATATTTTATCGATATTGTCGACATTACTGTATATGTATACCTCAAAATTCAAAACACACATTAATATATTGCTTCTCATTCAACTAACATTGTAAACTATTTCAATATCCCAATTTTCGATCACATCGAGTCGACATCGTATCAACATTGCACTTTCTTATTCTTCTTACATCATCGATTAAACAATGGTGGACACTTTCAATGTTTATCTCTGTTGCAGTGTTAAACAATTATATCGAGTCGATATCGTGTCAGTATTGCATTTTTCTTGTTTACATCGTCGACATCTCTATGTTGGACGATATTAAGTCGTAATCTTGTCAACATTGCCTTCTTTTTTTCTCTTGTTTAAATTGTCCTTTTTTGGTGTCGTTTATGTTGTTCCCACCGTCAACATAACAATGTTGGCCGATTTCAATTTGACATCGTGTCAGTATTACTTATTTTTTTCATGTTAACATCGTCGACTTTTCAATGTTGTACGGTATCGAGTCAATGTCGTGTCAACATTGCCTTTCTTGTCTTGTTTACATCGTTCACTTCGTCGACATCGCATTGTTGGACGATATCAAATAAAAATCATGTCAACATTGCTTTATCTTTTCTTGTTTACATTTTTCATATCACAGTGTTAACATTTTGCGATGTTGACAATGTAGACAGAGAAATGATAACAATGTAGACAATGTACACCCGATATATCATATCAACATTTTCTACATTGCGATGTCGACATGCAATGTAGAAATAATAACACTGTAGACGATGTAAACTTGATATCGCATCAACATTGTTTACATTGCGATGTCGACGAAGTCCACATAAAAAAACCTATGTTAACACGATATTATGTGAACACTGCAATGTCGACAATATCGAGTTGAAAAAAGTGAACTGGACATGAATGAGCTTTTCGATCAAAAATCGTCCCTTTTTAGCTCACCTGAGTCGAAGGCTCAAGTGAGCTTTTCTGATCACATTTTGTCTGTAGTCCGTCTGTCCGTCTGTCTGTCCGTCTGTCCGTCTGTAAACTTTTCACATTTTCGACTTCTTCTCCAGAACCACTGGGCCAATTTCAACCAAACTTGCCACAAAGTATCCTTGGGTGAAGAGGATTCAAGTTTGTTCAAATGAAGGGCCACGCCCTCTTCCAAGGGGAGATAATTAAGAATTCGTGAAAAATTAATGGCATCATTAAAAAATCTTCTTCTCAAGAACCACTGTGCTTGAAAACATGAAACTTATGTGGAAGCATCCTCAGGTAGTGTAGATTCAAGTTTGTTCAAATCATGACCCCCGGGGCTAGGGTGGGGCCGCAATGGGCGATCAAAGTTTTACATAGGAAATATACAGGAAAAATCTTTAAAAATCTTCTTCTCAAGAACAGCAAAGCCATAATTGGTCATATTTATATGGTAGCATCCTCAGATAGTGTACATTCAAGTTTGTTCAAATCATGACCCCCGGGGGATCGGGTGGGGCCACAATGGGTGATCAAAGTTTTACATAGGAATACATAGGTTAAATCTTTAAAAATCTTCTACTCAAGAACAGCAAAGCCATGATTGGTCATATTTAAATGGAAGCATCCTCAGATAATGTAGATTCAAATTTGTTCAAATCATGACCCCCGGGGGTCGGGTGGGACCACAATGGGCGATCAAAGTTTTACATAGGAATATATAGGAAAAATCTTTAAAAATCTTCTTCTCAAGAACAGCAAAGCCATGATTGGTCATATTTACATGGAAGCATCCTCAGATAGTGTACATTCAAATTTATTCAACTCATGACCCCCGGGGGTCGGGTGGGGCCACAATGGGCGATCAAAGTTTTACATAGGAACACATAGTAAAAATCTTCTTCTCAAGAACAGCAAAGCTATGATTGGTCATATTTATATGGTAGCATCCTCAGATAGTGTACATTCAAATTTGTTCAAATCATGACCCCCGGGGGTCGGGTGGGGCCACAATGGGCGATCAAAGTTTTACATAGGAACACATAGTAAAAATCTTCTTCTCAAGAACAGCAAAGCCATGATTGGTCATATTTATATGGAAGCATTCTTAGATAGTGTACATTCAAGTTTGTTCAAACATGACCCCTGGGGATCGGGTGGGGCCACAATGGGTGATCAAAGTTTTACATAGGAATACATAGGTTAAATCTTTAAAAATCTTCTACTCAAGAACAGCAAAGCCATGATTGGTCATATTTAAATGGAAGCATCCTCAGATAATGTAGATTCAAATTTGTTCAATTCCTGACACCCCCCCCCCCCCAACCACTTTTATATTTAAACTTTTCAACCTTTCAAGATTGAAGTGATTTCTGCTTTTTCCTCGCCATAGTGCTCAGGTGAGCGATGTGGCCCCTGGGCCTCTTGTTGTTGTTGTCGTCAACCTTTCCTCCCATATTCATTTTTCCAGAACCACTTGGGGAATAACTTGCCACAAAACAATTCAAATTTATTCAAATAAAAGCCACTCAAATCAAAGCTGTACTTGGGAATATATGAAAAAAAAAAATAAAAATTTTAAAATCTTCTCAAGAACAGGATGGCCATGATTTAGTCTTAAGAGGCAATCATCCTCAAATAGTGCAGATCTAAGTTTGTTCAATCATGGATCCCAGAGGTGAGATTACTCCTAGGGATACGTTTGGATCTCAATCTGGGATTGAAGTTTTTTTTTCGTGCAAATAAACTTGTAAAGGGAAAATGATTTGAAATTTTTTCAGCACCGGCTTGATTACTGATATCAATATGTCAGCATTCACATCCCCATGATGTGTTGATGCAGGGTATATGTCATGAGCCTTTGGGACTAGGTGGGACTAATATACGGAGTTAGAATTTTTCATGTGAAGAAAAGGAGTTTTTTTTTAAAATAAAGGTCTTTTAATGAAGAAGAGAGGCCAATTTGGCTCATGCGATCTTTATGGCCGATGGTTCTTTTGTGAATGCTTTATTATTCCATTTAAGCCTTTATTAAAATTTTTGACATGATTCAGAACACGGACAGCTGCCCCGGCAAATTGTATAACGCGCTTTAGCTCCTTTAATTATTTTTTTTCAGCACGGTCGTCCCTGTTATGACACAACGCATGTTAAAATAGGATTTCAGTGTTTATATTTATATTGTTAGATAGCATTTTTCTTGATTTAAACATGCTAAAATAAGAATTAAGGACATACGCAATGTACATCACCATGTACCTTTCCCAAATAATAATTCTCTAAAATATTTTTAATTTAAAATCAAAGTACCATACAATGTCGTTGGAAAAAAAGAACATGAGTTTTGAACATAACAAATGATGAAAATTCTTGTTCTTTTTTTATTTTTTTAGTATATTCAAGAAAATGCACACAAAGGTCCTTCACTTATATTGTATTTGAACATTTAAATTATACAGGAAATAAAACATTAAAGTTCAAAAGTGCGTTGCGTAGGACTTTAAATCCTATTCGACTTGAATGCGATGTGGCAACGCACTTTGAAAAAATTACGCACTTTGAAAAAATGAAGACAAAAGACTTGCCAGAAGTTAAGCCATTCATTGGATAGATTCTTTTAGTGAAGGAAGGGAGATGGTTAAAAGTGATGTTTTCTGTTGCCCAATGAAAGCTGGGGAAGAGATGTGTCCTTAGTTGAGCAATTTGTCATTAAGGTTCGCCAAGTTACAGTTAGAAAAATAGTTGAATATCTTAACAATAATATAATTATTAAATCCCTAAAATATCATTTAGTTTAGACTTTAAACATATCAGATATGATGAAAAGAAAGCGCCCATACTTTATCCACATTGAAAAAAAAAGACTCTCCAAAGACAGATGGCTCGGTTTGTGATGGTCACCGTGCTCATTCTGGGAAAGGATATCCTTATCCACCCACCCCATTGCCGAGATTTGGTCATTTCTGACAAATGGACTGTTAACTAAAAATAACTTGCATAGTAAGAAATATAAGACTCAGAAAAATCTTTTAGCTTCTGTGAACAGAACGCTACGGAGTTTGTTACGTGACCGCCTGGATCACGTGATTCCCGCATTGGCAGAAGGGTGGGAGATATGCATTAAAATTGGAGAGAACTACATTAAAAATTAATGAACACTGAAACCTAATGCTATTTCTTTTATGGAAGTTATTGAATTAGTTTGCGAACATTTTTGATTACCCTCGTTTGTTGTTGTTGTTGTTTAATCTGTAACTATTTTTCTTAGAGTGGAGGATGGCTTTCTGAAAGTGAGTACTGAATTTCCGGGGCATATTGTACAGTACAGCAAAAATAATGGAACTTCTTGGCTTGATGTCCCAAATGAATGGTTCCTTAAGGATAACAGATCTTTCCTAATGAGAACAAGGTATTAAGACAGTCTCGAAGGTATCCTTAATAAAATGCACATGCAGAGTTTATTTTCCAATCATTATAAAATTATATAAATGTATAAAATATGCTACATTTGTAGAAATTCTTCAAAATAACCTTTAATGCTTTCATTTAATATTTTTGATAATTCAATTTGCGGGAAATTTCTAAAAATAGAATAGTTATTTCTATTAAGTTTATGCAATAGTTAAATAAATAGTTCAGTTTTTTTATGATTTTAGTACAAAGGATAGAACAAGGTTTAGCAGAGTGGTCAAATTTTATCCAGGTAGGATTTGACTTCATTTTGAAAATTGTCGAATTATATTAAAAAACTGAAGACCCCCCCACCCATAATTTTAATAGGTAACTTTTTAACTTGCAGAGGAACCTTTGCCAATATCCGATCAACATCTGGTTGACTACATTGCCGGAAACTTGCACATTAGATATGACGTCACCAGTAATCTTGTAAATGACTGGCAAAACTTTACGGCGAAAATAACAATGAAGAACACGGGAACTCGGGATATTTCCTTGGGAAACTGGGAAATATACTTCTTTTCAATACGTCTTATACAGCCAAATGATTTTCCCTTCCAGCATGGCTACTTATTACAGGATTGTAATATGAAGGTGTATCATGCTGGTGGTAGTTTGTTCAAACTAACACCCGCGGGCCGAGAGTTTTCATTGAAATCTAAAGGAAACTTAGCGTGCACAATCGTTGCCAAATATTGGCAGTCAGCCAGGACAGATTGTATGCCAAATTGGTACGTAACCGCTGAAGGCATGCAGGCGAAAGATATTAAGTCTACTGAAAACGAGGCTCTGACTTTTGTTGGACCTTTCACCAGACCTGAGCAATATCGTCGATATCCAGCAGATACCTATCATCCTTACACACCAGAAGAAAGATACAACATTAATGAAGCTATGACCGTATCTGGAATGCCTGCAAAACATATTATACCAACTCCTGTAAATATTAATCTAGAAGAAGGATCTGTGAACGTCGATCCATCATGGGTTATTCTTAATTCTACAAAGTACAGTCAGGGAATACACTTAATTTCTAGTAAGTTGTTAAATTCCTCTATGGTAATAAAGGAATTAAAAAAAATATATCGATACGTTATCTTTAAACTATAAACCTACATCATTATTTTACTTAACTTTTAAGTTTAATAAATCTAAATTGTTTACATATACATGTATCAGTGTCTAAATTTATTTTTACTGCAGCCTATATTTTCTTTTTCAGATCTCTTCGGTGTCAGTATTCAAAACACGAAGCCGTCGTCTAAATACATTGAAATAGAAACAGTGGAAAATTTAGACCTTCTCGAAAAAAATGAAACACATGATGAAGCCTACTGGATTGTTACAACCGATTCATCTATCACTATTTCTGTGAGAACCACAAAAGGTGTGTTCTACGCTTATCAGTCACTGCGAAGCTTGACTAATGGAGGAAAGGTACTTCCGGTTGGTGTCATCAATGACCAGCCTCGGTTTCAATACCGAGGAATGCATGTTGATGTTGGACGAAACTTTCATTCAAAAGAGGAAATTCTTAAAATTCTTGATGCCATGGCTATGTATAAGTTAAACAAGCTTCACTTTCACTTGACTGAGGATGAGGGCTGGAGGCTGGAGATTCCTGGTCTTCCTGAACTCACTGAGGTAAAGAGTTTTAGTTCAGTATCTAGAAAATAATTATTAAAACCAAAAGTCTTTATAGTTTGTTCCGGCACGTAGAGAATAGAACGAATTAAATGACGTTAATTGTTCGGCAGTGTCACTTCGCTTGAAGCGTCCTTTACACTGTATATTGAAATCTGTTAAAACTTTAGCAAAACAGTTAGTGTTATGGCAAAAAATAATTAAAACCAACAAAAAATCCAAAAACCAAAACAAACAAACAAACACACCTCCCCCCATAAAGAAAACACGCGCACAGAATAAAAAATGGATGGCAGAAATTATTATCATGTCTGCATTTAGTTATATCTGGTTCATTATTAAATAATATTATATAGGTCTTGGGGTAAAAAAGTAGTCCTTTTTCAACATGAAATTGCAATATCTGTGTTCGCTATGTACATGTTTGGCCGTATTTTTTTGACTAACTTACATTGATTGCAGGTAGGTTCCAAGCGGTGTCATGATCTGTCAGAAGACGAATGCGTACTTCCTCAATTAGGATCCGGGTCAGCAAAGGACAGACTCGGTTCTGGATTTTACACTATCGAAGACTACAAAGAAATACTACGTTTCGCCAACGACCGCCATATTGAAGTCATTCCAGAAATCGATATGCCTGGTCATTGTCGTGCTGGAATTAAAGCAATGGAAGCACGGTTCCGGAAGTACATGAAATTTGGAAACGAGACGGCGGCAAGAGAATACCTAATGACGGACTTCACTGACATATCTCAATACCTCTCTGTGCAGTTGTTCACAGATAATGCAATAAACCTCTGCATGAATTCAACGACGGCCTTCATTACTTACATTATTAGAGCATTAAAAACTATGCATGAAGATATTCAACCGCTGAAGATGTATAATTTTGGGGGTAATATTAATTTATATTTCCTACGAATAAAACAAATATTATCATAGTTAGGACTAATAAAGTGAACCTGTAATATTTCATATATAATTGAAAATTAATTCTGCATCTTCTAATTATTAGAAAAATACTAAGTAAAATTAATCATTTTTTTTTAATTCTATGTCAGTGACATCTTTCTTAAATGCCGCATTAAGTACACTCTTTATTTTCAGTAAACATGTACTCTGAATTTCTTCATAATTTTGACAGTTATATAATTTGTGATCGTTATTATCGCTTTAGGTGACGAAGTAGTAGGGGCTTGGAAAGATTCGCCTGAATGTCGGAAGTTTATGAATAATTCCGGATTTAAGCACGTGAGTGAACTCAAGAAATATTTTGCTCATCTGATGGATGAGCTAACTGACAATGAGGGTCTTAACGTGGCTGCGTGGGGAGACGGACTGAAGGAGGGACTAACGCCATACGATCTGTCTGAATTCCCCAGTAAAAGGTATAATGCGAAGTTCACGATAAAGCCTAAAATCTTGAAGATCTAGAAGTTTTCTTTATAACAATTGTTTATAAGCTTGGTCATATATAATGATAAATTAAACAATTTAGAAAAATCTTTCTATATTTATAAAATATTTATTGTTAAATAAGTGTGTATATCCACAACAGATATTCTTTTCGATTTACTTACGTCATAAAAATTATTAATTATTAATCAGTTGAAAAATTTACTTGTAGATCATTTACTATTTTTTATTTATTTATATTTCAGGGATATAACTGCCGTTAACTGGGAAAACGTCTGGGAATGGGGACAGGGGGATAAAGCTTACAAACTGGCCAATGCTGGATATAAGGTACCTAGATATCTAATCGATATATTCTCTAAAAAATCAATACATGCAAAGACGATTGCATGAAATGACTCTTAGTCTAATGTCGATCTTATACGGTATACCATTTATCAACAAACAGATTCCTTGAAATGAACGAAAGCTCTCAAAATTTCATTTCTGCCCTATTAGAAATTTTTGTATGTATGACTGCATGCTCAAATGTGATTGTGAATAACTTTTTAGGTCATTCTCGGACACGCAACTCACCTTTATTTTGACCATCCATACGAGCCTGATCCTGAGGAACGAGGCTTCTACTGGGCAACGAGATTTACAGACATTAGAAAAACCTTTGGCTATGTCCCAAGCAACATATATTATAATGCCGACAAAGCAGGCAACGGAAAACCTCTCACCCCGGATCAAATTTGTACTCACAATGGCACCTGTTTACAACTTGAAAAACCAGAAAATATCATAGGTTATATTTCCTTCGAAAATAAGCTATTCCCGCTCTTTTTGTGAATTGATTAAAGCTTTTTGTAATACATTAGCTGTATAATAAAATACACTGTACTTTATGCAGATTTGATTTCAATCAAATCATCTCGTAACGATTTTGCTCCGAAATTCGTTCGCGCATATAAATAGCCTGTCCTCTCCTAAAACAATTTCATAACCTTAATATATTTAGTACACTTATGAATAATTAGTAACGTTCTTATGAAAATTAGCAATAGACCTATTTTTACACTTGACAACAACCAAAAATAATGTTTATTGACCTTATTTCTTCATGTACATCTTCAAATTGATTCGTTCGTAGGGATGCAAGGTCACGTCTGGACAGAAACAATTCGGACCGCCGACGAGCTTCAAGAAATGGTATTCCCTCGCCTTCTAGCTCTAGCTGAGAGAGCATGGCACGAATCCACGTGGGAAAATATTGATAATAAAGAGGAACGGATCAAAAAGACAAATGAGGATTGGACTTCATTTGCGAAGGCTTTACAAAATAAGGAGCTGGCACGCCTAGAAAAACTTGGAATCAATTACCGAATTCCTGTTCCAGGAGGAAGGTAGAACGATATAGTTTCTTTTATTTTCCATCACTTGTTGCTCTTGGCAATCAAAATTTAGAACGTGCAAGTTCTGCCAGAACAACTACCCTGTGGGCTGGTAGATACATTTTGGCATTTTAATAGATAAGCTTAACCCGATGGGTTTCTGCTTTTATATAATTTATATAATTTATATACATTGAGGTTCAGGTTGAATCTTGAGTAACAGAGCTAAAATTAAGATGCTTTATGAATTAGTTTTACAAATTTGTTCCTGAAAATACACCTGGTTGAAAGGTGGACTTGTTAATTTCTTACAAAAACGCAGTGAAATAGCTTGATATTAAAATATTTCTCTAAGAACATCTTTATTCATACAGGTATATATAATATTGAAATAAAATTGAAATTTTTTAAATTTTAGATTAATAAAGGAAAAGTTAAATGTTAACACGGATCTTCCTAGTCTAACGGTTCAGTACAGTGCAGATAATAAACGAACATGGAATGATATACCTGTCCATACAGAGATATCAGGCTTGCCGGATGGAAAGGAAGTATACTTAAGAACAAGGTAAGCAATCTGTCAACAATGAACATTGATTTCTTCCCTATTATGACGTTGTGGTACCAACTGCTGGTCATCATTCGTCTTTTCAGGCGTGTAAAATTAATCTTCAACGTTTATGGGCTTCCAAAAGCATTTTATTTTATCATGAAAATACATACAATTTCAGCATACTCTACTGTAGCTTCAGAACTGTAGTTCTCTGGTAGAGAAAAACAAGACAGCTACAGATCCAAGCATAAGTAAATAATTTTGATTGGAAAACTTGGACAGAAATAGCCTTAAAATATGACATTAAAGATATTTTCCCGTATCTCTCATGTCAAAACAAAAATCATATTTGTACAAAGGCATTGAAATTTAAGTCATCAAATTCAGAAAATTTATTCGAAGAAAGGATAGAAAGTAAACAAGTCCCATGGCCGTTGAAACTGTAGGAACTTTGTCGTGCCCATTCCCCCAATTATTTTGTCGATATATAGAATACTTTAGAAAACATAGCTACTTTATACTTGTACCCCCTCAATAATAACGTCTATTGAACCCTTTTTTCGATTGTCAAGGAGTTTTGGTTGGTAGTTCCCCCCCCCCCAAAAAAAATGTTCGGTGGAGCCCCCTCCCCAAGTAAAATTGTTTCCTATGGTCCTGATAACTGACTTGGTTAACAAAACAAAGAAATTATACTGTAGACCACTATGGACTTCGTTTGCGATCAGATATAAGCCAACAAACTAGAGAACAATTAAATAAATGAATCAACTTGATATGTCATCAGCACATGCATGATCAACCATAGATAGATATTTTATCATGATAAAATGGAAACAGTTTATGTACATGTTAGTTCATTTTTTTTTATACAGGTCGGTGGATGGAGCTCGCTACAGTAGAGTCATATCATTCAGAACACCAGAGATTGCTTCTGTTTCACCTAACAAAGTCCCTTCTGCTTTACTAATTATATGTATGGTCCTAATGTACTTTAGCTAACATAATGGACATATATACATGATATATAAAATGGTGTGTACAAAATGTATGGGGGTTTTTTATAGTCAAAGAACTGCAGTTTGTTTTTGGGTGGCATAATCTGAACAGTTTGTTATGACAGGCGCGGCTTTAGTGTGCATTTTCAGATTTGTATTTAATGACCGGTAAAATTATTTAACAAGTATTTTTTTAAGCTTTAAGGATTAAAAAAAATCACTTGATAATTAATATGGTTTTTTTTTTGCAAAATTAAAGATACTTCTATTTTTGGAATGAAAATATCTTCTACATCTAACAAAGGAGATTTATTTTATGACAAATTTCCCAAGCATATTAAAAAAACACAAACACATTTCTTTTTATTGTGAAGTTTTAATAGTGCATTTAATGCTTTAGATTGTTTTTTTGTGCTAGGGTAAATGATTACATACAAGTGAAGAGGCAACCATATGTCTAAAGTACTTTAATGTGCTCCGCCCAACCAGATTACTTTGCTTTGACTAAAACACGTTAACTTTTGGATTCTGTGATAGGAATGTATTTACTTTATTAAAAGTGGTGCTCACCTACTAAATCATTTTGTTTGCATGAGTCAAGAGATTTTTTTTCATACATCAGCATTATATTATTTCTACTATGCACAGTGTTCAAAATGTGGTACAATCATTACTTTCTATTTGCTTATTTACTATTATTTATCTGAATTAAATTTATAAATTGTACATTTGTTTACAAGATCAAACAAATATTGTGTTATTTTGTATCATCACTGCATTCATTTTTGTTTGTGAGACAGTTGTTATAGTTTCAGAATATCATCTTATAGACATATGCTATTAGAATGATCTAAGGATTTTCAAATTGCATAATGTAAAATCACATATTTTTGAAGGGTCCGATTTCTGTGGTTTGAGGAAATATATTAGTGTGTTGGGATTTGATTTCATGATTACAGAAGCGTTAAGTTGTTACATACGTATATTTAAATTTTCACACTTTATTGAGTGCATGAATGTTTGGGTCTTTTCATTTGTCTGTCTGTTTGTAAACAATTTTTCAAAATGCTACTTCTCCTACAATTTTGATCCGATTTTAATATATATCTTGTTACTGAACAAGGCTACTGTTTGTTATATAATACTGTTTTGTTTTTATTTGGACGAATGGTGTTGCAATGGTTACATAGAATAAAAATTTCTGTAAAATTCTTCCAAAACGGTACCTCTCCTACAGTTATGATCTGAATTCAATGAATTTTTTTTATACAAGTATACTACATTAAGAAACATAAGTCTATATATTAGTTTTTTCTCAAAGCAATAAAGGTGTAGCAATGGTTACAAAAAAGAGAAAATTTCCGTAACATTTTTGTAAAACGCTACTCCCCTACAGTTTTACTCTGATTGCAATTAAACTTGCCCAGAAAATAGACTAAACAATCATTATTCTATTTATTGCCGTTGCCATAGTTTCAACTCCAAGAGCTACATGTACTCTTCCTTTGTTATATTAAGTATAAACTAGTAAACCTACAGTCATGTAAGAGACTGCTGGATTTTTTATATATTGTTGTGTTTTGTAGAAGTAACAAATATTTCTTTTGCAGTATGATGGATTTTTATTGTCACGTTTTTCAAGGATCCCAGTGGGGTTTTTTTGTGTGAAAATTACAATAGAAGAACTCTTAAATTTTTTTACTGTTTGTAACTTACATTGACTTCAGTGTATATACTATGTATATACTAAGTTTTGGGAAAATCTATAGTCTGGGTCTATTTTAGGGACCATCTCAAAATACAGGTACAGTTCCTGTAGGATTATATGGGAAAATGCTAGTTTTTCTCCATTCAAATCATATTATACAAATACTACAATAGACTATTATCTCATAATATGTGATAAGCAATATTATTATGTACATTATATCTAAGAAACGCAAATTCCACCACTGGTTTCCAGAGGGGTCATCTCAAAATGTCAAATTTACGAAATTTTTGTGTTTTTATGGGGTACTACAAAATATAACCCATATTTAAGGATTTATACCAAAAAGAAATCTGAACATAATTTGAAGATTTTCAAATTTAAAATGTGTTTAAAATATCAAGAGCATATATTAAATCCTTATTTCCTTTTATAGCATTTTCATTGACCCCCTCTTAAAGAATTTCAGTTGTCATAATGTCACAAAATACTATGTCGATGTTCTTCTTCCTATCAGTTGATAAATCCACAAAACAGTTCTTTGAAAACGTAATAGGATTTTTTAACTTGTAATTTCTTAATTTTGTTAAATTTTATAAATAATATGAACATAATTGCTTTAAGAGTTTAAATACACTTGATTGCACTATGTTGCGCTAAGTATTGCGCAGTGGAAACCCCACTCGGCCCCCTAAAGCATTACTTGGTTTTGTTTTATTGTTTTTGCTGTTTATAAACCATTTTTATAAATACAAATGTTTCACAATATAATCAGACAAATAAATTTTGTTAGAAGTTGCTTCAAATTTTGAGAGAATTCAATACATGTGTTTGATTGTTCTAATTTGTAATTATTTCTTTTTTTTTTTTATATATATCCATACTTTAAAATATGAAAATAATTATAAGAAACAAAACTAAAAAAAACAGTCCTGGCAATATTATTTAAAGTGAACCTGGCACTTTTTTAAAATAATACTTTTATTAATGTTAAATAAAAATACTTTCCCGATTAACACGAATATTGAATTACAATTTATTAGTGCAATCACCTTTGTTTAACAGTGCTTTCCTTTTTTATTATTGACCTTACTCGACAACACTCCGAAAAATAGAGTAAAAATATGTTGTAGATTATTCAGTTTTGCTGATCTCTGACAAAGGCTTAAGTAATGTTTTCATATCAAAATTTGTACAAGTGTACGTTGTCTTTAGAAGTTGTTTTTTGCTTTTTCTGTTTTCATATTCTTTTCAAGAACCACTGGGTTAATTTAAATGAAACCTGAAAAAAAATGTTTCTTGAAGGTATGACATTCAAACTCTAATGAAAGGCCGTACATTAACAAAGTGGGATAATCCAAAAAAGATTTAAAAAAAAAAAAAAGGTATTGAGTCATTTATAATTTTTCTTCCCAAGAGTCCTGGGACCAAAAAAAGATCTTAATTTAAAGATTCTCTACGGTAATGTAAATTCAAGTCTGTACTAACCAAAGTCCAGATAAACAGAGTTGTCACAATAGTTTGATCGAGATTTTATATCGGAATATATTGTTTAAAAATCTGTACAAATCAAGAGCAGGATAATTGCAAACGGGGTTGACCGGGCTGCTCTATGCATAAAAGTTACGTGTAAACTATTTGAGTATGCGACTTTGAGGGTAGAAGCTATTGAGAATAAATTATTTCTTTGTTAAATATGTATACATCAGAATGTATCCTAACCTCTTATCATTTATAAATGTATGCAGTACTTCCGTCAAGTTCATATATTAAGTATAAAATTATGTTTTCTGATCTAACGTGCAAGTTTACTTTTCATTTTCTTAGGTTCAAAATGACAGCTCCCTATTGTTCAGAACATGTAGTAAAAAAAAAATAAATAGGTAAATAACAAAAAAAAAAAAAAAAAAAACCCCAAAAAAAAACAAAAAAAAAAACAACCCAAAACGTAAGAAAACAAGACATCCAAAAAACCAAAAACACCGAAATCATCCTATCTGTTCTATCTATGCTACATGTATCTACTCAATTTTTGAATGACATAAGTTTTTGCTGAAATATAAAGATTATAAGAGGATTTGAAATTATTTCAACTAAAGATAGGTTTCTACACTTAGGTTTCTGTCAAGTTGAAACTTGTTCAACTTGTACATAGCAATTGTATCAAGATTTTCAGATTACCAGTCTTCATGACTGAATAAAAAAGTAATTTCATTCGAACTCAAAAAGCCTTGCATTGGACTTAATCTTTTTTAGAGCGTCCCTATTGCAATTTTTAGATCGAAGTATAACTTTGAGAAAGAATGATAGAAAAGATGGTTCTTGCAGCAATATTTCGTTGTTTGAGAACCGTAGAAAGTTTATCTAAAATTCTGCATATGAATTCAATATTTCATGAGTATCTCCTCCCTTTAGAAATTCATTTCATCTAATTTCTTTCATAATTTTTTAAATTGTTTTTTTTTTAATTATTTTAATTATTAATTTTCTTTGATTAAGATAAAAAATTTACATGTAACATTTTAAAGGAATCTTTGCATTATGCTATGAAGGTTCTTGTCACTATTTATTTATTTAAAAAAAGTTTTGTCAAATTATGTGCTTCTAGTGCAAAATTTGAAAGGAAAATAGGTATGACAGTAAAGAGATTTCAAAACAAATACAGTTATTTTCCACGGAGCAAATTAACTGATGATTAGGCGCAAACAAGAGTTACCTCAGTCACAGCTGTTATCTTTGAAGCGCGTCCTAGAAACAAAAATATCGTAATGAGCACAACTGACATACCTTCTACTCCATGTAGTCAATCAACTTACTGAGCCATGATTCGGGATAGGTATTTGATAATGTTTACCTCGGAGCACATCTCTATTCATTGTCTCCATTGTTATTAAAGAATTAAGAAAGTCGACCTTGTCTTCTGATAGTTTACGAAAAAAAAATAAGTAAAGTTTACTTCGTTTTAGGCATAATTAATGTCAAGTTGGCGATGCTTTCCCTTTTTTAAATGGATCAAGTCAGGATTCTTTTGCTGCTTGTGTTTGCAGTTGTTACAGGTAGGCGTTAAATGATTACCTTTGCTACTGGCGTTTCTTTGTGGATGCCTGCATGACGAAACATTAAAAAAAAGAACTTGTGCACTTATTGTGACTTTTTAGAAGTAACAGAACAAGAGGTATGCGAAAAAAAATATCCTAAACGAGTTTAATGATGGAAAAAGAAAGAAATAAACTGACTTGTGTGTTAAAAAATTAAAAATATTGTTTTTTTTTTTTTAATTTTTAATTGGCATAAAGTGAAAAAAATGTTTAATTTAATGCTATAATACAGTAATAAAGGATTACATTTGTAATTAATAGAGACTGAATTTTTTTAAATAGATCTATAAAAGCTATAGAACGGAATGAAATTTGTAAAAAAAAATCTTATGGAATATTGGTTTCTTAATTTCTAAGTGAATTCAGTGAATTCTGATAACAGCAACCATTTTCAGTTACATGTATTGTTCATTTCACAAATCCAAATTGTCACAATAAAGAACAAAAGTCGTTATGTGTCAAAATTGACCCTGTAAAAATGTGAAAAAATAAAGTAAAGCGATATATAATTTCATGGTCTATAATATATGTCCAGGACACTAACTTTAAAGATTTGGTATAAGTTTGGCAAAAAGCGCGACCGGTTAGTAACAGTAAAAGTCAAAACCATGGAAGTATTCCGGAAATCTACGTTTTTTTGCGTATTTTTTGTGTATTCATGCAGTTTTGTATGTGTCCGCATCCGAGTATGTATTCCAAACTTTTACAAATGCATCATTATATTATAATCATTAAATTAAACGCTTAATTTCAACCTTACAAAGATGCGGACATGACGAATTTTAATAATTTGCATTCTGCAAATAACATTAAATCATGGCTATCGGTGACTTTTTTTCTTCATTTCACAAATTTATTATAATCTTTTTGCAAGTTAATTTGTATTAAGCATCATTCTTACGACTAGAAAACACTTACAACTAATTGTTTATAAAATAAATGTTTAAAGGTCTGTGTATTTTAATAAGTTTACCCAGGTAACGGTTTTATCTGTACATTGTATTTCATAAATTAATTATAATGTAAATAAATGACACTTGTGTTGAATAAATCCCAAATAATCACCCTGAGCTTACTGAGAACGTACATTTCTTTATTTACTTTTATTTCTTTTATAGTCGATATCTAAAAACGCCAAAGAATTTAAATATTGCCAAGAGCCATAAATCTCAGTATTATTAACGTTGGCTTATAACGGCGTATTGATGACGTATTACATGTACAAAATGACGTCACAATATACCTGGAATCAGCAACTTATTGTTGCTATACCTGTGATCAATTGATGTGCTGAACAGATTTATGAGAAAGAGTAATGAAGTCTGATCAGCTTTCTTCCTTTTTTTGGGGGGAGGGGGGAGGGGTCATGGATTTTTTTTTTATAATTGATAGTGCCCTACCCCTTCTGAAAATGTATGATTGTGCCGCTAAGATTTAAATTTGAAACTCCAAGTTTTCATTATAATAGACACATTACTCATAAGGTTGTTACCTTTATTACGTTTAACGTTTATTATGTTTAAACTACCAGTTTATCCCTTTTAATAACTAAAACATTTTACAAAGCATAAAATTGTCCCTGATTTCATTGCCGATTTACATGACTTGTATTTATTAAATATTAGGGATGTCAACGGGTACCCGGTTAACCGGGTACTTGATCGAACGTCCGAGTATCGAATGCTTAAAAATCGGTACTCGGATGTATATTTTGTCATATTTTAAAATGCATATATTTATGAAAAAACCCATCAAAAACAGTAATTATCGTCACCTACACCAGTTACATGTACACTGGCGGATTTAGAGGGGGGCCAGGGGGCCCCCCTTTTGTGTCCAAAATATACATAAGATTTAATAAATCATTTTTTAGGGTATGGCCGTGGGCCCCTGACCCCAAACTGGTCGCCTCCCCCCTTTTTTCAAGATTCCTGGATCCGCCACGGATGTAAAACCTGTTATCGCCTGTGGCTGTGTACATGTACAGTATATACAGTAATTACCATAACCAATCACTGGACACCTCGGACCGAACTGTTGTGACCCTAATTTTTGGATGACATTAGTTATTTGTTTTCAATGAACATCGTTTAATTATGTCCTATTAATTATCCTTATATTATTTAATTAGCATATGGTAGCGAAATCAGACATACATTGAAATGCCGCTACTAATTCATAAGTGAAGAAATATTTAAAAATAACCCAAGATTAGAAAAATGTTAGTAGTCAGCTTTACTGAAGTAAATTAAGCATATATAGGGGAAAACAACTATATATTTAATGAAGGAATGAGTTTGTTGGGTATGCCAGGGCATTAATGGCAGTTGGAAACGTGGGATAATTTATTCTTAACTTTCAGAGTTATCACAAAGAAAACATTTGGAAATGTTAATAATATACGACTCGCGACCACGGCAATCCCAAAGATATTCTTTTTTGCTAGTCTAATCATTACAAAGTTGCGTCCTTCTCTTCCATTGATCAAATTGTCTTCCTAAACAAAAACTGTAAAACACTTGTAATTATTATTAGTGTATTAATTGATCATGTCTTTTGTGTTTGTTTGATTACATAAATTAAAGGGACTGAATACCTATCAGCTAGATAAAAAAAAAAGTGTCCTGTGGGGGGGGGGGGTCAAGGATGAATTCCCCGTAAGCTGGAAAGAAAAGTCTTATTTTGACACTAGAATGGCTGTTATTTTACTTCATTTCATCAATGACAGTAAACTATACCTAGATTTTTTTCCTTCTTCTTTTTTTTGGGAAGGAAGGGGGTGGCCTGGAGCGACGATTTAGAGGTACGATTCGTTACAAATTCAAAAATCTCAGCAAATCGGGGTTCATCGTTAAGGTAGTCGTAAGGAGACTAATATTTTCGTTATTCGTGTTTAAACGCAGCAAAGCGCACCACACTGTGGCTATTACCCTGATCAATCAACTTTAATATGATGTTTAATAATTTCAAAAATCTCTCAGAGTCTATATATTCTATATGAATTTCGTAACATGTATGTTCGTATGAAATCGTCATTAGTCATCGGAATATCCTATATATGTATCATGTCATATCGTAGTCATTCGTACGAGTATCGAATGTAATCCTTCATAATCGTAGAAATGTCCGATGTGATTGCCTCTAATTTTCTTTTATGACCATGAGTCTCCGTAGACCTCTACTACGTGAAACTGTAATCTTTTCGAACTGTTATTTTATTTTAATTTTTTTTAGTTAAAATTATTTTGTGTAACTGCTTCATATGTATAAAGAATCTCTATTGTTGTTGTCATTGTAATGAAAAAAAAATTATTTATCTATTTCAAGGAAATAAACTTTTGGCAGTTTTCTCTTTAAAATGACGGTTTTTATGTATTTATTTTATTAACGTTTAAGCATACATATCATAACAAAAAAATTCAAAATCATGACATTAAAACTACAGAAAGTATATTATGTAAAAAAAATATTATTCATCTATTTCAAGGAAATCAACTTTTGGCAGTTTTCTCTTTAAAACGTTTTTATGCATTTATTTTATGAACGTTTAAGCATACATATCGTAACAAAACAATTCAAAATCATGACATTAAAACTACAGAAAGTATATTACGTAATTTGGGTAATGTAAAAAAAAAGTTATTTGAAAACTTATAGAAAAAATTTTCATATTAGAAAGTTAACAGATTTTAAACGTAGAAATTTTGGTAGTTGTCTACAGCAAATATTGATAACGTAAAAATTACATCGTGACGTCATGCCATAAAGCACGACTTTTGTGGACAATCATGCCATTTTTAAGAGGCTCCTAATGAAAAACTAAAAGTGTTATCGGAGAAATTTAAACTGTTTTAGGAAATATGCATTGTAGAATTCCTGTGAAAAAATCCTGATCATATTCAATAACAGGGCCGATTATGACCCATAACGACTCTTCCTCTTTGCTTGTATTTAGACATTTTTGGTTTAAGCGGAAAATGAAAGAAAACGAAGATATGATTTGGGCTTTACTGTGCCCTAAAAATTGAATGTTTCTCAAAAGTTATGAAATTGGTTTAAACATGAGTTGAGCATATAAATGTGATAATTCATGAAAGAATGTGGCATAAAGGAGGACTATTCTGGAAGTATGACGTCATTGGTTTGATGTATTTCTAAGTTTTTAACAGAACAATCATGAAAATGACACATTTCTCGGGTTATTTTCGTTCAGAAAATAGTGTCCACAGCCGTAGCCTACTTCAATTTTTGGATATGCTGTGTAAAATCATTTAAAAAAATCACATTTATCAAAATCTTTGTGGCCGAAGTATGTGCTGTACATTATTTGACATAAAATTTCACTGAAAATTGATGCCTTCTGCTACTTTTTAAGAAAATACGGGAAAACTCACAAGTTAAGGGCGTCACAATTACCATTTAGGAGGCTATAGGAGAAAAACGATTTTTATATTCTTACTGCATGGAGTTTCAACGATTCAGAAAGAATGACTTTTATTTTCTTACATCACTTTCATATTTGAAAAATACAGGATCAGATTTGTACTGAAACCGTGTCTTGTTCTTTGTACCCTGGTTTTAATTTTGTTGCTGTCAGTGACGCTTAGTTCAACAAATCAGGTAGATCAAGATAACAGTTTTCATTGATTTAAAATGTATCCTTTACCATTGTAGGAAACCAATTGCCTTTAGGGGATCAAAGTTTGGTAGACTATATCGCAGAAACTCTTGACGTCAAATTTGACGTCATTAGCAACTTCGTTGATGAACGTAGAACGTTTACATCAAAATTAACACTAAAGAACACTGGGAGTCAACCAATTACTCCTGAAAAATGGGAAATTTACTTTTTTGCAATTCGCCTCGTGCAACCAAATGAATTTCCATATGATGACGGTTTACAGCTGAATGACTGCAAAATGAAATTATTCCATGTTGCCGGTAGTTTATACAAGTTATGTCCAATGCGAGACTTTTTGCTGAGTAAGAAAGATAGTACATACTGTGAGTTGGATATGAAGTACTGGCAATCTGCAACAACAGATACAATGCCTAACTGGTACGTTGTGTCTGAGGGGATGAAACCAAGGGACATCATTTCCACTCAAGGCGAGGGATTGTCTTTTGTAGGACCATTTAACAAACCTGAACAATATAAACGTTACACAGACGACGACTGGCAGCCATTTAGTCCCGAGGTAAGGTAATGTGATTCTTTTTTCTGCTTTTACATCTTACAAATCTATATTTTACTCACTACATTTCATTACTTATGATTTTATATATAACCACAATAACATTTCCGTAATATTGGGTATTAAAATAATATGTGTGACGGTCCGAAAGATTCGGTTACAACAACTATGTTTTTATTACTAGATACCGTAAACTAGAGTTTTCCAAGGAACGCATGCATCGCCTGCTTTGAAGCTTCAATGAAGGTGTAAAATAAATCTAAGAGTGGTCTGTTTCTTATCTACTTTATGAAATATATGGAGATAACGAACAGTATTCAAGCTCAAAATTCCATTAAACAATACAAAATAGGAGCAGAGCAAACACGGACCTCTAAACATCAGAGGTGGGATCAGGTGCCATGGAGGAGTGAGCATCCCCTGCCGACCGGTCACACCCGCCGTGTGCTCCTTGTCATGATCGGGAAATAACGGAAAAATCCGTCGACAATTCAGTGTGTAAATATTGGCCTAACAATTAGTATGAAAAACGTCAGTCAGCATTTGACTCAATGATAAATTGTATTTGCTGACAAGGTCATTGTATCGACCATAGAACTTACGAAATGATGACTTTAAACGAGACAGCTGATATTCTTGTTTCATCAACTTGTTTGTCAATAATTTACCTCGTTTTAGAAATTGTACATACGTAGAGCATGCTCTTGCGTATCGAATCAACTGAGAGATATATACCCCGTATGCAGGTGATGAAGGTATATTGCTACATAAGTAAGGGAAGTTGACGATTGAAAAGTTAAAGTCATCACGTTTATCATAAAGCTTGGTTGTTAGATTACCATTAACTTTTCAAGTAAAATATCCAAATATGAAACAGATGTGTCAGACTCTGTGGTATCTTTTATCTCAAGCTCACCAGGATATATCGTATCGACATAAAAATGGAAATAGCCATTGTTAATTGACAATACGTCGTCGATTTATCTAAATGTCGAGTTGAAGGCCACAGCAAGTGTTTTCTTCTTTTCACGTACAAGATTTTGGACAAATTCTGCTTCATATGAATACAAAAAAAAGTCTGATAATAACGGGGCGCAATTGGTACCCATGGGAATTCCAATAGATTGTTTGAAGACTTGGTCTCCAAAAACCACATAGATATTGTCAATCAGAAACTCAAGCATCTTTTTGATGTCAACTTCAGAGTACTTGTGTGTACAATCAGAATGTTTTTTAACAAAATAATTTTGCAAATGACCAATGACAAAGTAAGTATATTTACGAGTCCCATTTTTATTGAAAAAGCAGCTGTCAATGATATAAAAAAGCCTGGACTTTAATTTATCGTGTGGAATGGTTGTGTATAACGTAGAAAAGTCGAAAGTTTTTAAGCTGTTGATTTTGGTAAAATCTTGTGATTTCAAATTTTCCAAAAGTTCCTTGGAATTTTTAAGTATCCACATCTGATTTACACCACTTCTCGAATATATTGTTGAACAGTACTCTTGAAGTTACTCCTTCACCACTGTTAATATCTTGGTGAGGAGTAAATAAGAGGCTTGGTTGAACATTTACTGGAACCCGCTATGTATCTTTGTTTGTAAGGATTTTTATGAAGTTTCGGAATCCAATATAAATATGGTAATTCAAATTCATTTTGGTTGTTTGGAATATTAAAAATATTCAAAACTGACATATGATTTTGAAGAATTTCTGCCTTAGAAAGGGAACTACGAGTATAAGTTGGATTACCACTTGTAGAATTAAATCCAAGTTCCTCTAAAATACATTTAATATAATGAGCCTCTGATAGTTCATGCATTTGCCTGCAAAGAAAAAAAAAGCATAATAATATAATACTGCAATAGCACCTGAAAATCAAAGCAAATATGGTTCCCTAACCCTCCAATGAACAATTAAATTGGAATTATTCGAAATAACTTTTTTTCATTTTATTAATATGTGATTCCAACAATCCTCCAAAAGAGAATTAAGACCGTCTTTACTGCAGTCTACACCATCCATTATGGAATACCGATCCCGATTTATTTTCATAGTATCTAAATATAAGTTTGTGTGGTAATTGAATATCATACAGTTTCAAAGTACAGTTTTATGGGCTCAGACATGTGTATAAATGCTAATTATCAAAAACTTGCCTCTCAAAATTCAAAAGTATTAAGTTAAATTTAACTGCCCTTGGTATTTTTGCATAGTAGGTCAGAGGTCAAGTTCAAGTGAATTGTAATGCTGGTATTTTTCATGTCTTTTGACAAATAGTGCACATGCTAAATAGCATTGACTTACCTCTTAAATGTCAAAAATTGCTGTATGCTATGGAAAGCCGTAGGGTACCCCCACATTATTATTATTTTTTCCTATATAATTATACCAAAAATAATTATCTCTTCCAAAAATAAAAATCTTGCTTTTTTGACAACATTATTATTTTTCCTGCAACAATTATAATCTTGTCTGTCAAACGTGTACACATTATTTTTATTTTGTCCTAAAATTATAATTATTCACACTTCACAATTATAATCTTGCCAGTCAATGTGGACACATTATAATGTTTCGCCTCCAAATAATAATCTTGTCAGTCGATGTCTACATGCACACATTATTTTTATTTCGCCTCAAAATTATAATAATTATTCTTACTTAATAATTATAATCATGCCTGTCCATGTGTACACATTATTTTTATTTCGCCTCAAAATTATAACAATTATATTCCACATCGATCATACAATAATTATAATGTTCAACAATAATAATCTCGACCAGAAAAGATGCAACATTAATATTTAGACGCTTGACAAAATCAAACGTTTGTATGATTCTGATGCACAGCACAATTATAATCGTTCACCAATTTTGAAAAGGTAAGATTATTATTTGGACGCTTGACAAAGGAAACGTTTGTCTGCCGAAGATAATCACGTGACTCAAGGCCATGTGCTAGTATCAACAGTGCGGCAGTGCCAGTGAAAGTCAGGCGGTATGCTGGTAAGTAAAGATGATTTTGTGATATTAATGGACAAGTAAGTGATTTACATTCATTCGATAAAGGAAATGTCTCAGAAATCAGCTGTCAGCATATTGTAATTGAACTACGGCTTCCGAAGAAACTAGTTCGAATTATCTCTGTACCTCTGTATCTTTACTATCAGTATATGCTCGTATTTCACAGTTTTAGCTTGAATTTTCTCTGCAGTAAATCATTTACATTGAGTCTTACTGTCAGTTGAAAGTCTGACTATTGATGACTTGTCTTGATTTGCTGATTTTATGTAGTTATCTATGATTGGAACAAAACATTTCTCTTAATATGGCACCAAACACCTATGTTTGTGTCTTTGTAGTTTGTTGTTTAAAGTCCCTCTCAAGAATTTTCCACTCATATGGACCTATACTTGGCACTCAGGGTCATTGAGCAGTCAGGGATCTTTTTCGTGCCAGCAACTTCTGCAACACAGGTTTATACGGTCTATTCCGAAAGACCCGTCTCCACCTCCCGCAATGGGATTCGAACCCCCAACGTATGGATCAACTCCTTACTCCGCGACTCTAAAGCAAATGCTTTAACCACTGCGCCACGCAGGCGATCCTATGTTTGTTAACATAGCCTATGTTTGTTAACATGAGCAAGAGCTATGTTATTGTTAATTTTTACATTTTACCCGGTGTGTTCAATTAACTACCAGTTAACTGCACAAATCACTAAACACAATCAGGCAACACTCGTGTGTTGGATTTGGTTTTAGCTCACCTGAGCCAAAGTCTCAAGTGAGCTTTTCTGATCACAGTTTGTCCGTCTGTAAACTTTTCACATTTTCGACTTCTTATCAAGAGCTACTGGGCCAATTTCAACCAAACTTGCCATAAAGTATCCGTGGGTAAAGGGGAATCAAGTTTGTTCAAATGAAGGGCCATGCCTTTTTCTAAAGGGAGGTAATTACAAATTAGTGAAAAATTAATGGCATCTTTTAAAAATCTTCTCAAGAACCACTGGGCCAGGAAAGATGAAACCTGTGTGGAAAGACCTTCAGATAGTGTAGATTCAAATTTGTTTAAATCATGACCCCAGGGGTTAGGGTGGGGCAACAATGGATGATCAAAGTTTTACAAAAGAATACATAGGAAAAATCTTTAAAAAAATTTCTTCTCAAGATCAGAAAAGCAATGATTGGTGATATTTATATGGAAGCATCCTTAGGTAGTATAGATTCAGATTTGTTCAAATCATGACTCCTGGGGGTAGAGTGGGGCCTCAAGGAAAGTACCCACTTATAGGGGAAAAAAATCTATAAAAATCTTCTAAAGCCATGATTAGTGAAAGAAATATGGAAGCATCCTCAAGTAGTGTAGTTTCAAATTTGCTCCAATCATGCCTAAGACGCTGCTCAATGACCTTTTGAACAAAAAAAAAATTCACTTCTGTTTTTCCAGCCACTGCCATTAAAAGAGTCAATTGACAAATTCTTAAATATGAGAAATTCTACATTATTTATTCAATCTTCAGTCACCATGAGAAAAAGAAATTATGCTTTAGTTTTTGAATTATTTGCACATTTAATTTTAGGAGCAACAAAGAGTCTTGATTTTTAGAGGCAGGTTTTAAAGAAAGAAATCAGTGTTGTAAAGAAAGAAAAAGATTTTCCACTCAAAGAATTATGGATGACACAGAGGTAAAAAGGACAATAATGGTTAGAAAGAATAAAGAAATTATTTATTTATTACATTGGCAGATTTACCCAGGGGAAGGGGGGGAGGGTAAGAAAATGTAATGGGTTCTGACAAATTTTTACATTGAGATTTTTTAAAATTTATTCTGCAGAAAATATAAATTTTAGGATGTACATAATCTAGTAGGTGCTATATTTAGATTAACACTATTTTGATATGTTTAAAACAGACATCTACTTAATAATTAATTATTTACAATTTAGCTCACCTGAGTCTAAGGCTCAAGTGAATTTTTCTGATCAAAGAGTGTCTGGGA